ATTTTCCGTTTAAAACAAAATGCAAACCTTTTAAATTATATTTTGAAAGTTAATTTTATCATGTTTCCATGCACTTACAATGGCTGTCGATGGTAATAACATATGTATTTATTATCAGAACTGTCGAGGGATCAGGACCAAACTAAATACATTGTACATTAACATACTGTCTCACTCATACGATATTATCATCCTAACTGAAACGTGGTTGACGCCCGATATTTCAGAGAATGAATTTATAGATCACCGATATGATGTATATAGATGCGACCGTAATCGTTCCGTCACTAATAAAAAAGACGGAGGTGGCGTCTTAATAGCGATTTCTAAGGCCCTAAATTCATCATGCCTCACATTGTCACCCCCATTAATTTTACCTGAACATATAATAACCAAAATCCCATTTTATAATAATAAATATATACTACTTTGTGCCACATATATACCTCCCAATACAACAGAAGAAATTTATGTTAATTTTATTGATTCACTGGATGTTTTAATTGACGATCCTTCCATCGAATGCGTAGTCTTATCGGGAGATTTCAACCTGCCTGAGCTGAATTGGATTGACTCCACATCTCATATGACGTGTGCCGTGAACAACACATATTCTAATATTAGTCGTCATCTTCTAGGGTTTTGCTCACTACACGATATGAACCAATATAATAGTACTATTAACGGTAACGGGCGCATCCTAGATTTATTATTCTGCAATACACACGTAGAGACTTATATTCCAAATATTTCGCTCCTTCCCATTGATTCCCACCATCCAGTCTTCTGTTCATTAATACCTTTTAGAAAGCCCTCATTCTTAACTAAACATATCAGCCGAAATCCACTTAATTATCATAAGTCTAATTATCCTGAAATTAATTCCAAAATTAAGGGCGTTGACTGGCGTGGTCTCCTAGGAGAATTACCCCCCGAGGAAGCCGTATCTATTTTCTACGAAAAAATTTACGAAATAATAAAATTACATACCCCCATACACAAATCTAAAAACTATAACTTTCCGAACTGGTTCACTAAATCTCTAATGAATATACTTAGACAAAAATCCCACGCATGGACAAGATGGAAAAAATACAGAAATATTAACGACTATGAATTATTTTCTTTGTATAGAGCAAAATTTAAAAAAGATGTCGCCTCTTGCTATAAGAAATATATAAATACGGTGGAGGATGGCGTGTCTACCAATGTCAAAGCATTTTGGTCATTTGTGTCTAGCCGTAAATCCAGCAACAAGATTCCTCCCATAGTATACTACCAACAACAATCTTCGAATGATCCCACTACGATTTGTAATCTATTCTCTGATTTCTTCCATTCAGTATATGAACCCTCTACATTCAACCATAATTCATGGAAACCACCACCCGCTACTTCCGATAATGATATTAATATCTGCAGTTTACAATTTTCTGTAGACAAGATTCAAAGTGAACTTAAATCATTAGATGCATCCAAAGGACCTGGCCCTGACGGTATTCCCGCGGTTTTCTTGAAAAATACCTATGACACAATATGCGTTCCACTATATTTTTTATTTAATAAATGTGTCTCTAGTGGTACCTTCCCAGAGATCTGGAAATGTGCTAATATTATTCCGATCCACAAGTACGGCTCAAAAGATGACGTGTCTACTTATCGGCCGATTTCTCTGTTGTCGGCACTGTCAAAACTCTTTGAGAGACTGGTTCATAACGAGATCTACCCCGTCTTGCGCCATGTGATATTAAAAGAACAGCATGGGTTTGTAAAGGATAGGTCCTGCGTGAGTAACCTCCTCATTTTTACGTCACATTTGTTTAACAGCCTTGATAATAGGCAGCAGGTTGATGCGGTATATACTGATTTCCAGAAGGCCTTTGACAAAGTTGACCACAGGTTATTACTTGACAAGATTGCTTTTAATGGCATTAGAGGAAACCTGCTGCGTTGGTTTGCTTCTTATGTCACCAATAGGACTCAAAAAGTGGTAATAAATGGCTATGAGTCCAGTCTTATTCAGGTCACATCGGGAGTCCCACAGGGATCCATTCTTGGACCATTGTTATTCATTATATTTATTAATGACATTAATTCCTGTTTTGTAAATTCTAAATTTCTCCTTTACGCAGATGATTTAAAGATTTATAAAAATATTACCAATCAATCTGACTGTATTGATTTTCAGATGGACCTTGATCGTTTCTTAGAATACTGCTCTTGCAACAAACTTCAGCTTAGTTTTTCCAAATGTCATAGTATTACGTTTACAAAAAAGAAACTAGTAACCAAATTTAATTATCATTTTGGCAACACTGACTTAATTAAAGTTACCTGTCTACGCGATCTTGGAGTCCAGTTAGACTCCAAGCTTCATCTCGATGCGCACGTGAATAAAATAATCAATAAAGCCTATCAAATGTTCGGTTTTGTAATGCGAGCTTCTAGAGAATTCCACCGCCCTTCCACTTATTTATATCTGTATAAGTCAATTATCCGGCCACAACTAGAGTACGCAGTGCCTATTTGGAATCCTTTCTACAAAAAATACGTAGAAATACTGGAACTAGTCCAGCGTAAATACCTCCGTGCGATGCACTACAGATGTTTTCGTAAAAGACTTTCCTACCAATTATTGCTTGAAAAGTATAATATCCTGTCCCTGCAATCTAGACGAACACTCCTTGAAATGATGACCCTCTTCAGTATATGCCGCAACAACTTTGACTGTTCTGATCTTGTGAATGGTTTGTGCTACCTGGTCCCTCGCTCAGTACACAGCAGAGAAGTGCGTTCACGGAACATGTTTGCAACTAATCTCCGTCATACCAATTCAGGTGCTCGCTCACCATGCATCGGTTGGTTGACACTTATAATAAAAGGTTTGCATCAATTGATATCTTATTTCTAAGCAAGAACACTTTTCGACAACGAATCATTAACATTTTAAAAGAACGACCACTAGAGGTATAATACTCTGATCCTTAATGTAATTACTCCAGACTTTTTAATTTTATTTTTTTAACATGTTATTTGTGTTTCACATTCATATAGTGCACAAAATATATGTATATAATATATAGGTAGGTAAAAATATATAATAGATAGGTACAGGTAAAAAGTAATTCTGTAATTTAAATTTATCCTATGTTTGTATAGTTTGTAGCTTCAAGTTTGCCCCATTGTGTTTGCTAAGTACATTTATGGTAATCCGTGGCAACGTCGTGAGGAGTGTATTTGTTAAATCTATTATTTTACTCACCTGTGTTATATTTAATATACTGCTGTTTGTTGTCCTTGATAAATAAATAAATAAATAAATAAATAAATCCCATAAAAAAATACCACTTACTCTAACCATTGTCCACAAATACTCCAATCACTCATGCCTTGCAACGACTAACAATCGCAGTCAATCTAAATAGAATCATAAAGCTGCAGACCTAAGATTGACTTTAATAAATCTAAATATAGTTTGTCAGCGCGTTCAAATGAATCAGTAGTTTCCTTTATTAAGAGATAGGGTCAGATTGTGAATTGATTTGACCTCTATATGCCCTTGCACATCTTACGAGATACACTTAGGAACAGATGGCTGCATGGCAAATTTATACTGTTAAACTTTCATTGTATTTTCGATCTTATTATCTTTGTAGTAGGGTTGGAAATTGTGTGAAGGATTATTTATGTTTAGGATACCTATAGAACGTTATAGAAACGAATTGCGTTTAGGGTGCTTACTTTTAAAACCAATCGCAATGTCAATACAATTTCAATTCAATAAAATTTCAATAATTATTTAATGTCAAAACTACAACCCCTATCGTAGCTGTTAGAAGAATAGCATTCAGAGTACGGAATATAAAGCCAAACTCGATATCATTTGTCGCGGAGAACCTAACGGGTTACCGGGGCTCCGGCTCGACATGCAGGAGAAGGATCGGGCTGGTTTTTAGTCAGTAAGAGTCTGACACTCCCTCCCGCCTCACCCAGGCGGGAGCAGTATTTCGATGATTTTCCCCCCTTAAAGAAAAAAATTCGATATTATTTAGTTTATTCAATATCTACGCAATATGGATGCAATGGGCGCTAGTGTTGCAACTCAAGAGTACGAAATTTTACAATACCAATGTCGATCGATCGGAATTTTTTAAAAAAAAAAAAAAACGTTGCCCCACACTAGGATTTTCTCCTGTGTCGTGGGTACAAACATACAAGTTCACATACACATGACACCCAGACCCGAAACAACAATTTGTGGATGACACAAAGTGTTGTCCCGTGCGGGAATCGAACCCGCGACACGTTGCACGGCAGCCGGTTGCCCAGCCACCGCACCAACCGTGCAATCAAATTAAATTCAAGAGTAAGCCCGCTAGTCTCAGTTCAAAGTCCGTTTTGTAAAAGATAATTCTTTTATTTTTAGTTTTTGTTTACGTTTATGTTTTAACTGATAAATGTCAGACGTGGTACAAAGTCCAGTTTAACATTTTGTAGTTTTTTTGATACCTAAGTTTTATTGATAATTTTGTAAGGTCACCGCTTGTTAGTAACTAGATATTATGTAGTTTCCTCAACTAAAAATATACTTAATGATAAAAATGATAATGACCTATTCCACATACATAACATAACATCACGCCTTGTATCCCCGAAGGGGTAGGCAGAGGTACACATTACAGAACTTAATGCCACTGTACACTTTCACTACTTATGTTATGAGTCCCATGTAATAGGGGGTGAGCCTAATGCCATAGACTGGGCACATTTCCAGTCTCCGTGCTACTACTGAGGTTTTTTTGACTGACTTACTTTGCCCGACCCGGGAAGTCGCACTTGCAACCACTCGGCCAAAGTATTAATATACTATTAGAAAAGTGGGTGTTACATTGTACAGTGGCATTAAGTGCCGAAATGTGCACCTCTGCCAACCCCTTCGGGGATAAAAAGGTGTGATGTTATGTTATAAACTTATACTATATTACATCTATCTTTTACAGAAAACCGCTAAGCCTTCACCACGGAGTTAAAGGCACAGCTACGGTATTCACGGGTCCAGCTTCACAGGTCAGTGCCGCGAGAGCCGGCTTCACGTCCATAGGAACAGTCACCATGAAGGAACTGGCTGAGAACGGCCTAAACTACCCCAATGACGAGAAGATATATGTCAAAGTCATGATCAAACGGTTTGATGAATAGGGTTTAAAGGAATATGTGCCTTAATGTTGTATAATTATAAGGATCAGAATCATATATCCAAATACTCAAATGCTACTCAATTTTAATCGCACTAAAGTACCTACCTATACAGATCTATAATCTGTCTCTACAAATTCTTTGTGAAATGAAAGAGATGGCACGATGTTTACGTACAATTTAAAATTGAGTAACCTTTCAGTATTCGGGTGATAGTCTATTGACTTGTACATGGTAACATATCGAGTTAAACAACCAGTATAAACTGACCCTTGAATATGCGAAAAGATCATACAGAGTGAGACCAATGATAAACTGGTTATGTTATGGCTTGGTAATAATAATAATATACCTTGTTGTTTGACTTGTTGAGTCTGAGGTACCGTACTACAAGTATGTGCCCGACCCAGTTCTGGAAAATGACCATATCACGTTGTACTGGAACCGGTCTATCATCACTGACAGGACTATTATAGCCAACAAACCTGATATAGTGGTGATAGACCGACAAGTGCGCCGCACGATGATAATCGATATCACTATTCCTCATGATGAGAACCTAGTGAAAGCTGAAAAAGATAAACAAATCAAATATCTTGATTTGGCTCACGAGGTTGTCGACATGTGGAATGTAGATTCGGCTATCATTGTGCCGATAGTCGTGTCGGCCAATGGGTTAATCCCTAATAGCCTCGACAACCACCTTAGGAGGCTAGCGTTAGGCAGTTCGGTCAAGGGCCTGATACAGAAGGCAGTTCTCCTTGAAACGGCGCGCATTGTGAGGAGGTTTCTGTCTCTGAAGCCCTAACCACTGGTAGCTTGGACCATGCTCCCACTACTGGTCGGCTCCTATTTTTATATTTTTAAATATTATTTTTTATACTGTAGTATTTAAAAATGTAACTTTAGAGAAATTTTAAATAAATATATGGAAATAATATGCCTTACAAAATATGTTTTGGTTGTGCCACTAATAGATGTTATAAATAGTAAATGTCAATACCAGAGGTATATGTATATTTAGACAATTTTATTTGTATTTTAATAACAAACATATATGTATCAAAGGATGGTATTATTTATAACATTTTCAGTAAATTCTATTTTTTTTTTAATTGTCGATGTTTATAAAAAGGTGTACAGTATAAAAATTGTTATCTAATTTAAGACTAATAATAATATTTGTGGGACAGGGTGTGAGAATAATATATTAATTTAATTAAATAAACAATTTAATATTGTATTTAAGTGTTATTGACTGTATCAAAAACATACATATAATTACATACATGATATTCAATTTTTTATTAATTTTTATTAATAAAAAAATATATTATTACACATATCTTTAAAGTTATAAAAATCATGCCTATCTACCTTTAAGTCGTAAATAACTTTAAATAAGAATATACACAGGACAATTTTAAAAACACTATTACTTAATATAACCAAGTTTTAGCTATTAAGCTCCGTCCTTCTTGCACTGCTCAATGCTCGACCATCTGACGCAATTGTAATAGCAGACTAAGGCCCCTGGCCGATTGTTTACCATCAGGTGATTCATCTGCTCGTTCACCGGCTTATTCTATAAAAAATCCCATTTTTTTATACCACAACGGTGCCAAAAAAGCACTCGGCCACCTGATGGTAAGCGGTTACCGTGGCCTATGTACGCCTGCAACACTTGGGGCATTACATGCGTCTTGCCGACCCTTAAGAAACCTATTCACTCCCCTTTTGAAGAACCCCATGTTGTAGCCCACTGGGAAAACCACGGCATGGAGTTCATTCCACAATCGGAGGGTCCGTGGGAAGAAATTCCTCTGAAACCGAACTAAAAGGGGCACATATGACATAAAACACTAGCAGTGTCTTTAAAATTATCCTGTCTGTATAAAAATGCTCTTCAAAGCAGTGTGTGATTTTCCGTAGATAGAGAGAAATTGTAGATTATTATAGGGCCCACAATAGACTAAGGTAGGTATTTTAGCTAATTGATATTAATATTAAATACTTCATTAAATTACCTTTGAAACACTAATATAACTGTTTGTTCAGTCCTTTAGTTAATCTGTATGCATGCTATATTATATTTTTATGATTCATAGTTTATTAGTTTATTTAATCTTACATAATCTTTATACATATAATTCTGCTGTACGTGTGTATATTATTGATCTCCTCCTAAACGGCTTGACCGATTTAAATGAATTTGAGTGTCGACCTGGATGGTTTGGATTTACAAATCAGCCCGGCAGATGGCGCTGCAGTCGATGTCTAGGTTAGTTATCCTAAACGACTGAACTAATTTGAATGATTTTTTTTAATACATTCAAGTGGATATGCAGGACAACGTCTGTCGGGTCCGCTAGTTATTATTATGTATAAAGCTGAAGAGTTTGTTTAAATGCGCTTATCTTCAGAACTACTGGTTCTCATAGAAACGCTTCCATTACTAACAGGTAGTAAACCTAGTTACCTACTCTTCTCTGCCCCACTCTAAGGTCCGACTGTGTGTACAATTGCGCATGAAGCGTAGTAAAAATAAAACAAAATAATATGTTACAAATAAAAAACACAAATAGACAACATTGTTTAATTATTATTATTGTCACAAAATAATGGAGATATAATTATAACTATTAATATACAATAATACATGTCAGTCAACTTTAACATAAACAATTATCTTTATATAGAGAGTAATCGGAACGCTCCCGGAAAACGCCGGTGACGGTTAAAAACACGTTTATTTTCATAAAAGTGTGGAATTTAATGTTTGTTTTATGTAATAATAGTTTTAATTAAGCCAAAGGTACACTAAGGGACAAAAGTCCTGCGACACATATCGCCAGCGACGTCGGGTGAAGTAGTGCGAACAAAATTTAGACACAATTTCCAGTATGCGCCGCGACATCGCCGCGACCGCGCACGCTGCTCATGAGGAAGAACCCCTCTATGGTCCGAAACTAGTAGAGCTTTTCTCAGTATATTTCCGTGAGTAGCCCGCGATTTTTACTTAATTTAGTATGTCTCACGATAGTTATTATAAAAACATAGTTATTGTTTATTTGTCTGCGTTTTCCGGAGCGGTCCGTATAGACCATGTATGTTTTCGTTGTTCAGATTGCTAATAAACATTAACACCTAGTTTAAAATAGTCAATATTTAATTATTTAACGTTAAGAACAATTATTTACCCACGAAGGTTTTAACCAGTAATACAAATTAAAAGTAAAAGTAATAATTCTAGCTTCAAACTTTTTTTACAACGTTTTTTATACACAGAACATCCTTTGTATGGTTATCATTTTAAACAGAATCAAAACTCACAAATTTTATACCAAAATTTTGGCAAATGCTGGCGTAAAGCCAGAAGCTGTGACGTACATTGCTGTTTTAATAAATAACAAGTTTTAAATAATTTAAACAAGACGACACGTTATAGGTACACAATTAAGGTTTAAAATATCATTTATATTTAGATGAGACGGTTTTTATGTATTAAAATACCAGCTTCAAGCAACAAAAGGCTCTAAGATTCTCTTTCCACTAGAGTTCGCAATAAAGAACACAAACTTCAAATTGATAAGGTTTAAAATAGAACTGCCTCTAAGACGGGATCTTCTTTACGAAATTCAGACATATCTGCTTCAAGCAAAAATAGGCTTTATATTTTATACAAACAGGATTGAAATTCCAATACGTTCGTACTTTGGAAGAGCAATTCTTTTTGAAATACAAAATATACCTGGCATAAGCTGGATAAGCTGGCATAAGCTGGAAAAGTCCCTATTTCTTAAATGTTAGGGCCTAAAGTCGGGTAGGCAGTGGTCTTCAGGCTTGGGTGGTGGGTCATCAGTGAGGTATGAGCTAAGTAGTACGGGCGCACATACTGGTATTCTCTTAGATATCAGCCACGCACTATCTCTGTCTGATAAGGGATAGCGTTTGATGTCGGCGAAGCAAACTGTTATGTTTTCATTCGTGTAGGGCGGCCTGGAATTGGAATAAAGAAATTAATTATAATTTTTAGGTAGCGTTTGAGTAGTAGATACCAGGGTGCTTACTCTTGAAACCAATCTCAATGTCAATGCAATTTTAATCCAATAAAATCTCAATAATTATTTAATGTCTACACTATATCTGCTACATCGAGGGGTTTATCTTTCTGCGAATTTATGATGGATATCTGTAATTTGTAACTGGTCCGAGGTGGGAGCCTGAAGATCCGTCACACAGGGAATCTTAATATGGACTCCAGTCTCTCACAAAGGAGTACTTTGTTTGCATCTGATTATTGTATGTTATTTCTGTAAAATATCCTTTGTGTAGAGAGATATTAAATAAATTTATTTATTATTATTATTTATTATTACTATACAACCACAATCATAGCTGTTAATATAGCATTCAGAGTACGGAATATAAAACCTCAAACTCAATACCATTTAGTTCATTAAATATTCACTCAATACGGACGCAATGGGCGCTAGTGTTGCAAGTCAAGAGTACGAAATTTCACAATACCAATGTCAATCGATCGGAATTGGATTCAAGAGTAAGCCCAGGGTGTCGGCGACTACTAGGTATCACTGATACCGAATTGGCTGATACCGTATCAGCCAATTCTATTAAGGTTTTCAGTTAGCAAAAAATCTCAATCATGATACGGCCGTCTCGCTATTACATGAGAACTGGCCACATCTTTGCTTACCACCAGGCGAGATTCTGGCGAAACGTCAAACTATCAAGTATAAAAAAGAACTATAACATGCACAACATATATATTTACTTTACTTTTATAGTTTTACGATTTACTCATATACTCACAAAGTAAACGGTAAAGAGTTGGCTTCGCATTGCGCTTTAGTGTAATGGCGCTAATAACTATAAATCTCTAACATTCGGCTCGAAAGTAGTAAAGTAATCTCGGCAAACAGTGACATGACTAAAAGCTGCAAAATATAACTAACTTTTTTTATGGTATAAGCCGGTAAACAAGCAGACGGATCACCTGATGGTAAGCAATCGGTGCCGCCCATGAACACCAGAGGTGTTACGAGTGCGTTACCGGCCTTTTGGGGATTAGGAATTTGAGGATCATTGGGGTTTCAGGGATTGGGTAGAATGTGGAAGGGGAAGGTAATTGGGCCTCCGGTAACCTCACTTACACGACGAAACACAACGCAAGCGTTGCTTCACGTCGGTTTTCTGCTCGGCCGTGGTATCACGCCGGTCGAGCCGGCCCATTCGTGCCGAAGCATGGCTCTCCCACACTTAAAACTTACTATGTATCATAGAATAAATGAATACTCACTCGTCATCGGGCGCCTGTCCGTCCCCTGCCGTGACGAGCCTGGCCAGCAGCCTCCTGCGCGGCGGCGGCACGTGCAGTAGCGCCACGACGCCCGCGAAGGGCCCCGCCCGCCCCGCCGCGCGCGCGCTGCGCCAGCGGTGCGCCGCGCGGGACAGCGTACGCTCCGCGCCCGACAGGGGAGGGAGACAGGTCGCTAGGGGATTGCCCCATTCATATTCTTCTTCCTATATTTGAAAAGTTATTGTTTTTGAGATTTGTTACCATTAACACCTTGAACGCCATGGGGGATAACGTATGGGCCACGCTAGCGGAGGATTTACCTTCAACGGTTTTCTGTCGGCAGTCAAAGCCTTAAATAACTTAAAAAAAAACAAAACAAATGGTACAAACAAGACTCAATATTGTTTTTTTTTATTTATAAATAAATAGGTAATGAATTTTGCCCTACCAAAGTGCTTGAACAAGGAAAACTTACGACTTTTTCTTTATTATAAAATAGTTACATATATACAATGAATTACTTTGTTGTACGTACTATGACAATACCCAATGATATTTTTTAGCCCAATTGAAGTCATGATCCACATGACACAAAAAGATCCTGTAAATCCTTCCAACAGGTTAAAACATTACCTAACCAACATTAACTTTCGATAAACTGACCGTTAAATGAATGAAAAAATCATATAAGTCGAGACCGTATTAATTAGATATGTATAGCCTGATATGTAGTCTTGTTTACTTATAAATTAAAGCAATAAAAATAATGAAGTAGGTGAGTGTGCGAGGTAATCGCACTACTTGATTCCCCCTGGTCCTTTCCATCATCGTATCACAAGACAATCGGCGAAGCGTCACCGATACATAGTAAATATCCCCTCCACACGCACGAAGCGCTTAGCATCAAGCTTCCTTGTGCGTACCGCTAAGGAAAGGAAGTCTTTGCCAGTCTGTATTTCCTGAAGTGTATAACCTGGGTGTCTTCAAGGCCCGAGTGAATAGGTTGCTTATGGCTCGACGTGCTCCATCGTAGACCGCACCATCGCTTACCACCAGGCGAGATAGTGGTCAAACGTCAGTCCCCTCAAATATAAAAAAAGAATAATTATAATGTATGTTATTCCACTCACCGGTAAGAATAGTCCCGCCGCGCGGCTCTTGGCGACATAGACCGGATGCAGCACCCAGCGGCCGGCGGCCACGGAGCCGAGCATCTTCTCGCTGCGGCCCGGCGCCGCGCATAGCAGGTGGCTCGCCTCGGGGTCCAGCTCCGCGCCCTCGCATACTTCGCCGCCCAGGTGGGTTATCATCGCTATTATTTCTTCTCGATTCTGTGGTAAGAAAAAGAAATATTGATACAGAGATAATAGGGACGATGACAGAGTATAAAAATTAAAAATGTAATTAGTCCGTCAGTTAGGTAATGAACATTTTGTTGTATAATAAAATGATACTTAAATATAACGAATCAAAGTTTATGTACATAGAAGTGACGTCACGAACCATCAATAACGATATTGTTCTTTGAATTTTGTACGAAAAACTAACTTATGACGTCATCATATATCATGTTCGAGTCAGGGAGCACATTTATTATAAAGTAGTCAGTGAGCACATTTATTTCTAAAAAACTTGCAAGAATAAATCGAAAAAGTAGTATATCGTCAAATATATGAATGAAAGTGTAATTATTTTTCAATATTTATTTGGATTAAAAAATCAAAATAATTTATTTTGACCCAGGAAAATACCCAATTGGTTTCTATACAAATTGAGGAATAGCATCCGTTAATAAAATCAAAACATTTACGACCACACAACCAACATAACAACACATTACGATACGATACATATGATAACTCTCCTTACAAAATAATTAAACTCACATCAACATTAGAAGACAGCATGAATCGTTTGACAGGCGCCGCTTCTTGTTCAGGCTCGGCTTGTTGAGCGGGCGTCGTATCGTCCCATCCTACTGTATTTGGCTGGGATTCTGGTGCCGGCTCTGAGTCGGGAACTGAAATAAAGAGATTTTTTTTTTAAATAAATAAAAACTTTATTCATAATAACAATTACATACAATTGACCTCAAATAGTTAGATGCCTGCACTAGGACAATCCTGTATCGCAGGCGAGAGGAGGTCTAAATATAATTTTAACAATAGCACATCTTATTTCTATAAACACAAATATTTATCAAAATGCAATAGAAAACAATATATAATGATTATTTTAATATACATACATGCAAACATACTTACATACAAAACATAACCTCATACCCTGCATTCTCAGAAAAGATAGGCAGAGGTGCATAACTAATGGTAATATAATAAATATATCTAATAAATATACATACGTAAACAATGTAATTATAAATCAGTTCGAAAATAAAACTATCACTATTGCCGAGGAATTAACATGCATCAGCAGAAACATATAATGTATTAACTTAATATAAACATAGAACACATTTTCGACTGTTCGTACTCTTGCCTTCTTTTTAAGGGGGGATAATCATTGAATGACTTCTCCCGCCTGGTTGAGACGGGACGGGGTGTCAGACTCTTACTGACTAAAAACCACCCCGTTCCTACTCCTGCACGTCGAGCCGGAGCCCCGGTTACCCGTCAGATTCTCCGCGACTCCGATCGTACCCTTGCCTTGCGTGTTATAAAATATGAATAAGGAATTACGTACAATGATGTACAAAATTTTGATAAATCGGTCTCTAATAAACCTAAATATATTTTTAACCCTTCAAAAAAAGGAGGCGGTTCTAATTCGACCGTATATGTTTTATATTGAGATCTCTAATCTACCTGCTTATTGCTACATGGGACGATGTTGGCAAAACCTTTGGAATACAACAATATAAATGTGATCTTTATTTAATCTATGTAGCTTTCGACTATCACAGGCCGATGATTGATGATAGTAAAAGATGAACAGAATAAGGTCAATTAACATCAGTTTGAAGTTAAATTCAACTAAATTATACATATATACTAGCTGACCCGACAAACGTTGTTTTGTCATATAAATAATTTTGTAGAAGGGTGAAAATTGAGGATTGTATGGATTTTTGTATGTTGCATCATAAAAAAATTGAAATTAAAAATTTTGTGCAAAAAATAAAAAAAAATGAGGGTTGGACTACCCCTAACATTTAGGGGGATGAAAAATAGATGTTGGCCGATTCTCATAGATACCGGATAAGCACAAAAAATTTCATCAAAATCGGTGAAGCCGTTTCTGAGGAGTATGGCAACGAAAACTGTGACACAAGAATTTTATATATTAGATATAAGGAACTGCCTCATTGGTCGACTGGTCGCAAGTGCGACTGCCGGGCAAGGGGTTTCAGGTTCGATTCTCGGGTCGGGCAAAGTATTACAGGGTTTTAAAAAAATCTCAGTACTAGCACGGAGTCTGGAAATGTGCCCGGTATATGGCAATACGCTCACCCCCTATTACATGTCACTCATAACATAAATAGTGAAAGTGGGTGTTACATTGTTGTACAGTGGCATTAAGTGCTGTAATGTGCAGCTCTGCCTACACCTTCGGGGGTATGAGGCGTGATGGTAGGTTACAGAATATACTGTGTCCAACGTACGTGGCGCAGGTACAGTGGGCGTGGAGTCTCTATGTCTCCGCGGTCGCTGCGAGCTGTGGCGGCCAGTCAGCGCCGCGCTCAGCCGCTGCAGCTGCGCGTCCACCGCCGCCGGCAGGGGGGACGGGGACGCGGCCGGAGGGGGGGCCACTGACATTGTACTCGCACTTACTATACCGCCTGGACTCTGGAAAAAACATTAAAAATGATATATTTCTTTCGTTTTCTGTATCTTTTTTTTAAACATATACTGACCAGGGGGCTTACTCTTGAATTCAATTCCGATCGATCAACATTGACATTGTGAAATTTCGTACTCTCAAATTGCAACACTAGCGCCAATTGCATCCATATTGCTTGGATTTTTCATGAACTAAATAGTATTAAGTTTGGCTATACATTCCGTGTTCTGAATGCTATTTTAACAGCTACGATAGGAGTTGTATAGTTTTGACATTGGATAATTATTGATATTTTATTGGATTGAAATTGCATTGACATTGAGATTGGTTTCAAGAGTAAGCACCCAGATTGGCGATATATTAACCTTTTGAGCGCCAGGGTCACAAATACGTGACAAGCGAAAACTGTCCCTGAGCGCCAACGACACAAATATGTGACAAAAACAGCGGTACATTAAAACACGAAATAAACTATTTAAACATTACTTTAATGCCTATTTATTTATATACCTGTAAAATAGAAGGTCCAAAATTTATTTATTTCCATAAAACTAATTAAATTGCATTATAAATATTGAGAAATTTTACGTTAAAAAGAAAGAAATAAACTCTGAAAAAAGAATGTCCTCACACGCCAGAGTCATAACTGCGTGACCGCTAGTGATGTAGCGCATGTTGGATAATATCATTATTTCAAATCAAAGATCGATTCGAAACTTTCCTCTGGAATATATTATTTTAGGTATAATTTGGTACTAGGATAAAGCAGCATTAATTTTATAAAACCAGTCTTAAAAATCATTAAATAAGCTACATAGTCAAAAATAAAATTTGGTTGGGTCGAATTTCGATATTCACTAATCCCAAGTCAAGCGCATCCCTAACGCAACCCGAATTATCAGTACCCTGTACGCCATGGTCACGACTAGACGACAATATCGTGACGTCACAAGCGCGGCGACCAGAAATTAGTGAAGTGAATGAATAATATTTATGATTAATTTACTTGTGATATCGAGTTCAAGATTTATATTAAGTGACTATTATAATGAGTGGGAATTTAATGACTACGGAAGAAGAGCGAGATTATTTGACTCATAACTTTTATTCTAAGTGTGGGCTCCATATTTACCTATAACTTCGTGGAATAAAGTCTGCCAAAAGTTCCTTTTTTAGCCACGGTGCGCGCTGAGATCGATTTCACTGTCCCCACCACCCACTTTGCACCCAGCGAATTAGATGATCAGAATGCAGGTTGCATTGTAGATTTTGTATAATTTTGTTCTATTATTCAAAAGATTTATTAGTATAAGACTGATTGGTAATTGTGATAATTATATATAATCGTTAATTGTTTTAATTTGTTACTTTATATGCCAGGTTTATAGAACTTAATATTTAAAAACATGTATACATAGTACATACTGTATAACATTTTATTAAAATTTTCTATTTCTTCATAGTTTTTATTTACCTTCTTAACCTATTTCAATCATATATTTTTAAGTACCTGTTACATTCGGAATTATAAATCTGATTTAAAAAACGTGTTTCATTTATTATAAAATAATATTGTACTAGAACATCGATAAACGAGATATTACGTTGCCACATCCTTATTTCGGAAGCGAAGTAGTTATTAAAATGGCGGGCCGTCCACGCCATGGTCACAATATGAAGACAGCAGATCAAGAATAGTGTTGTACCTACAGTTATTATATTTAAATATATTGTAGTCTCATATCTGTTATTACGGTATTATACAAGTCTGTAAATAGTGTATAACTATTACTCTAATAGGAAGAAATGTAATGTTGAATTAAATTTCAATGTTATAAGGACATTATATTTCGAAATTAAAGACGAAAATGAAAATAAAATTGATTATCGATGAAGTTTTGGAATCCCTATTTTTTTCGTAGGTATTTGCGGTGAATTTGTGGCCTGGCGTTGAGGGCAAGTTCATGCGTTTTTGCTCTGGCGTTCAAAAGGTTAAATAAGGATCAAATTAAAAATACCCTTAACGGACGAGCATGCATGAAAAGATTGATGACTGTTGATGAAGCGAAAGAGGTATGTAGGAATCGTAGCAATTGGCATTCCATAGTATCTGCCAACCCCAATGGAAGACAGGCGTGAAGTTATGTAAACAGCCAACAAACACGTAAGAAATTAGTTCAAAAGTCATTATAAATGTTTAATTATACCTGGTCTTGTGTTAATTTCGCCATTTTCGCAGGTGGAGTCTCGCATTGTTCCTAGGAAAAAAAATGTTAATAAACACCACCCAACTTTCTATAATCGAATGAAAGATTAACTAATTAAAGTTAAATATTATTTATTTAATAATTAATGTATACACAATCCATACAGAGGACAACAAAACTATCTATATGTATAAAAATGAATCCCTTTTTCCCTTGGTCACTGCATCACGCTTGAGTGGCTGGACCGATTTCACTAATAATTTTTTGTTGTATTTGTTATTATTTGGAGAAGGTTCTTAAAACAGAAAAAATCCTGAAAATCCTACGGGAACGGGAGAAAACGGGATTGCGCGCACCAAGTCGCGGGCAGAAGATAGTATAACATAAAATTGGAATACTTAGCGCTATTAATTTTAAACCATTTTTTTAAATATTGCCCCACTCTAGGATTTTCTCCCGTGTTGAGGGTGCGTTTACAAACATACATGGTCACATACACATGACACCCAGACCCGGAACAACAATCTTTGGATCACACAAAGAGTTGTTCCATGCGGGAATCGAACCCGCGACACATTGCGTGGCAGCCAGTTGCCCAGCCACCGCGCCAACCATGCAGTCAAATAGTAATAAAATACTACTCATATCAAAAAAAAATGAACCTGTAATTGCAGTTTTCGAGGTGCTACAGTAGGATGTTCTGAAGGCGGCGTAGGCGCATCTCCGTTGAACTGCGCTAAAAATCTATTGCGGATCTCCGATAACGGCTGTAAGTATAACAAGAAATGATCTTATGAAAATATATCTCCAACACGCAAATCTGTCACTAGTGTAAACCGGCTAGGAAAACATCATCATCATCAACAGCCTATAAATGCCCACTGCTGAGCAAAGCCTCTTCTCACACGGAGAAGGTTTGACCACTAATCACCACGCTTGCTCAATGCGGGTTGGCGATTTCAAACTTATAATCAGAAATTATAAATCCAGGTTTCCTCACGATGTTATTCCTTCACCGTTTGTCAGTGGTGTCTAAATAATCTTAGAAAGTACATATAACTCGGAAAAAGTCACATTGGTACTTGCCGTTGGTAGGTTTCGAACCTGCACCCTCATGCGTGAGAAGTGGGCGACCTCCGGGCCACCACGACACCCATCGAAACCCAGGAAAACATCGATTCAGTTTAATCCATCAGTTGACCAATTTAATAAAGGTATCTTAATAAAAAAGTAAAGTAAACTACTTAAAAAAGCGAATAATTATAACTTAGATGTAAAATATTTTTTTTCAATAGATGCAAACTTTTTTTAAAACCTACTGTAACACTTCTCTGCATCGCCCTATGATTGGCTGGTAGAGAATGGCATTCGGCATTAAGTCCGCCATTGTATACAGTTGTACATAAAGTGTTAAATAAATAAAAATAGCAATACAGCGATACAACATCAAGCACACAAAGTAAATAGAATTACGATGATCATATCGTCATAATATAATTATGAGTGATGATACCACCTTCTCATTACTTGGTTTTCATAATGATGGTGACCATTCTAATAGCAATAGAGGATGAAACAACTTACTACACATCCATTCAATTTGGAATGCTACACAAACAGAATTTTGTATTAAGTACACAATATGACATTTAGACACGGAATAACAATTTGTGAATCACATCTTTATATATACTGCCTCGTTGGCCGAGTGGTCGTAAGTGCGACTGCCGGACAAGGGGCTCGGGTTCGATTCCCGGGTCGGGCAAAGTATTACTGGGTTTTTTAAATATTCTTAGTAGTAGCACGGAGTCTGGAATTGTGCCCGGTATATGGCAATAGGCTCACCCCCTATTACATGGGACTCATAACATAAATAGTGAAAACTGGGTGTTACATTGTACAGTGGTATAATGTGCACCTCTGCCTACCCCTTCGGGGATAAAAAGGCGTGATGTTATGATGATGATGTTATGATCTTTATATATATAATTCTTTTGTGAGTGTGTATGTCACTGAATTTCTCTCAAACGACTGGACCGATTTTGATGAATTTTTTTGTATGTGTTCAAGGGGATTTGGGAATGGTTTAGATTCACAAATCAGCCCGGCAGATGGCGCTGCAGTCGATGTTTACGTTATTTATCCTAAACAGCTGAACTAATTTGAATGAATTTTTGTTTATACATTCAAGTGGATATGCAGGACAACGTCTGTTGGGTCCACTAGTATTATTATAAATGTGAAAGTTTCTTTGTTTGTCCGTCAATCACGCTGAAACTAATGAACGGTTGTTGATAAATTTTGGTATACAGGGTATGGGCTGACTTGGTGATAATAGGATACTTTTTATTCCGATTAAATACTACCATGGGGTAAAACAGGAATCATATTCTCGCTGGAAAACTAGTATAAATAAATACAAAACAAACAAACCGTATGTTTATCCCGTGGCGCCGGTTCAGTCTGTTTGCTAGGCAGTCCATCAACAAACTTCCACAGTCGTTTCCGTGCCTCCGGCGACATACGGCCGGAACCGGGACGGAGGGCCGCGCCGAACGCACTGTCCGGAGTTTGGGCGTTTTTCTCGACTGAAATAATAATATAATGTTTTCACGTCACAGAAAAAGGCGAGTGAGTGTGAATAATATGTCAGTGATAGTGAATATCTTGGGATAAAGGTAAGATGAAACAATATCTAAGATTTTTATATAATAACTATCTTAATAATAACTATCGTGAGACATACTAAATCAACTAAAAATCGCGGGTGAATACATTGAGAAAAGCTCTATTAGTTTCGAACCACAGAGGGGTTCTTCCTTCATGAGCAGCGTGCACAGTCGCGGCGATGTAGCGCAGCCTTTCGGAAACTAGTAGAGCTTCATTATAACATCACGCCATTTGTCCCCGAAGGGGTAGGCAGAGGTGTTCATTATGTCACTGTACAATGTAACACCCACTTTTCCATGAGTCCCATGTAATGGGGGTGATCCTATTGCCATATACCGGTCGCATTTCCAGACCCCGTGCTACTACTGAGATTTTTTTTTAAAAATCCCTGTAATTCTTTGCCTGACCGGGAAATCGAACCCGAGTCCCCTTGCCCGGCAGTCGCACTTGCAACCACTCGGCCATCGAGGCAGTCTAGTCTAGTCAGTATAGTTTTTATTGTTGCAATAAGACTTACAAGGATCAGTAGGAGTCCGTATAGGATCGGATGGCATCTCCCCCCTCCGTACAGCTTGCAGCCGACGTCGAGTGGTGGGACTCAACGCGGCCAGGTTGGGAGTCGATAGCGCATCCTCTAAGGGAGGAGTCCTAACTCCGCATTCACCACCTAGAAGGGAAAAACAATGTTTAGTGTTGAGTTCTATTCTGTTCAATAAGGACATAAAGACTAAGTTTCTACATAACATAACATAACATCACGCCTTTCACTTTTCACTATTTATGTTCTGAGTCCCATGTAATAGGGGGTGAGCCTATTGCCATATACCAGGCACAATTTCAGACTCTGTGCTACAACTCGAAATTTATCAAAAATGGACACCCAAAACACCAGAGGGGTTACAAGTGTATCGTCATCGCCTTATGAGGGTTAATTGGAGGATGGGGATTAGGGGATTTAATGGTGGGGAGGGTTTGGCCTCTTGTTAACCTCACTGTGTATCTACAATGATTTACACATCTGCTTACCCATTAACATAATAATAATATATCAGATACCTTGTCTAGCATCATCTTTGAGGTCAGCCACTCGTTTGGGCGTCTCCTGCGAGTCACATCCGAGCAGGCCTTGTCGAGCCATCGCTATGTAACGAGACGCTGGGGACATCTCGTCGCCATCTACAAATAATATAGAAAAAATATTTATTAACTGATGGATTTTTTATAACGCATGGAGGGCAGTTTATAAAGGCAAAAGTTAAGAAAAAGTTAGTCCTCTTAAGAGGTAGATTAAAGACCGGCAAAAATGACGCAATCCAAAGGGGCCTTTTTTTGGAGGGGGATTATCATCCAATGACTTCTCCCGCCTGGGTGAGGCGGGGGGAGTGTGAGACTCTTACTGACTAAAAACCACCCCCACTCCTGCACGTCGAGCCCCGGCAACCCGTTAAGTCTTCCGCGGCTCCATATCGACATCAGCCCTATTGGGCCCCCCATCTGTGGTGGTCTGAATCTACATTTTGGAATGAGCATCTGCTTCACAGACGGACAGACTGACAGATTATTTTTTATTTTGTATTTGTTGACGTTTCAAAAGTACCGAATTATGGTTTAATCGAAATAAATGGTTTGACTTTGACTTTGAAGAAACACAGAAATGGGTGGATAACTGGAACAAATAATGGTGCTTCTGTGTCTCCCAGAGTCACAGATTAACGGCGCGTCGCGTTCCGCGCGCCTCAAGGAGCTATCAGACCACCACAGATGGGGTCCAACAGGGCTGATGCCGATACGAAGCTGCGGAAGACTTAACGGGTTACCGGGACACCGGCTCGAAGTACAGGAGTAGGAACGGGGTGGTTTTTAGTCAGTAAGAGACTGACACTCCCTCTCGCCTCACCCAGGCGTGAGAAGACATTCGATGATATTCCCCCCTCAAAAAAAAAAATGTCACAGATTAGGACATTTAGCAGTTTTCAATGTTTTAGTGGTAAAATATTAACTTAATTCACAAATAACTCACCCTTTCTATTAGGGGTCTGGTCCCTACTTGGAATAGAACCCCGTCGCGGTATGGCGGGGGCTAAAGGTGGTAACATAGCGTTCTCCTTGTCTGTTACCGTCCCTTGTACTTCCATTTGTTCGGGCTCCGGGACCGGCTCGGGTTCTAATGGTTGTTGTTCTTCTTCTACTACTTCTGGTTGGGGCGAAGGTGGGGCTGGAACATTAATAGAATAGCATTAATAAACATCACTGCTGACCAAAGGCCTATTCTCACACGGAGAAGGTTTGAGCATTAATCGTTAATAAAACATATAATTCGACTGCACGCTTGATGCGGTGGCTGGGCAATCGGCTGCCGTGAAACGTGTCGTGGGTTCGATTCCCGCACGGAACAACACTTCGTGTAATTCACAAATTGTTGTTCCGGGTCTGGGTGTCATTGTGTATGTGAATTTGTATTTATGTTTGTAAACGTACCCACGACTCAGGTGAAAATCCTAGTGTGGGGCAACGTTGTTTAAAAATAATTAATAAATTTGTATTTGGTCAAGTGATTATAAACTACCAGTGACGTCTGATTTATCAGATCACACAAAATGATGACCTGAAACACGTCCAATGATGACCAAAGGCCTCACGTAAAGTATTTAATCAATAGCTAAAACAAAAAATCTTCGACAAAATGTAATTTTTGATATCCAAATCACCAAAGACCCAAATGGTCTAACGTAAAATTCTGAAGCAATGTCGAAATATAGTTATAAATTATATTCAGTTCTGACGGCCTGGTTGGCCACCGGACAAGGGGTCTCGGGTTCGATTCCCGGGCCGCGTATTACTGGGTTTTTAAAAAACCTCAGTAGTAGCACAAAGTCTGTAAATGGTATATGGCAATAAACTCACCCCCTATTACATGGGACTTCTAACATAAATAGTGAAAAGTGGATGCTTCATTGTAGTGGCATTAAGTGCCGTAATGTGTGCCTACCCCTTCGGGGATAAAAAGTGTGATGTGATGTATTCAGTTCAGTAAAAAAACAAATTCGAAAATTAACTAACCTTTAGTATCTCCGACAAGATACTCCCTCTCACTGACCCTCGTCCCCTCCCTGGCACAGTCCAATAGCCACTCTCCCCTCACTGCCGGCAGTCCCCACTTCAATGCCCCCAAGTATTTGTCCCCGGTGGGGGTCGGACATATTAGATGAGTGGATGCTAGCGCGTTGGCTGTGTTGCGGCGGCAGAAACGGAGTTGTGTGCTGTTAGGGACAAAATTGAGGAGTAAGTAATCAATAGTGGTAATGGATAGATTTTGATATCTGTTTAAAGATAACATATATTGTAATTGGGTTTAAAAAAGAAATCTCAGCACGTAGCACGGAGACTGGAAATGTGCCCGGTATATGGCAATAGACTGACCCCCTATTACATGGGACTCGTAAGATAAATAGTGAAAAGTGGATGTTACTTCTGTGTGACCTCTGCCCACCCCTTCGGGGATAAAAGGCGTGATGTTTTGATGAATAATATTGTAAATTATTAATGTGAAGATAAAGTTGTTTTTTGACGACATTTTCCATAGAAAAACAGAAAAAAAAATTAGGTTAGGTTACAAATACAAATATTTGCTTTTATAACTTGACAACACTGACTGCCTCGTTGGCCAATTGGTCGCAAGTGCAACTGCTAGTCAAGCGGTCTCGGTTTCGATTCCCGGGTCAGGTAAGGTATTACTGGTTTTTTTTAATTCTCAGTAGAAGCACGGAGTCAGGAAATAGGCCCACCCCCAATTACAAGGGTTTATAACATAAATAGTGAAAAAGTGGGTGTTACATGGTACAGTGGCAATAAGTGTCGTGATGAGCACTCCTACCTACCCTTTCGGGGATAAAAGGCGTAATGTTATGTTATAACTTGACAGCATTATAAAAACATTCGTTTAGTCTACAAACCTTACTTATTCACCCAAATAAGCAAAAAGTGATAAAATGTCTGCCAGATAAGGTAACATTTACTTAATCCAACATTAAAAAACTGAAGCAATTCCTTTAGTTTATAATATAGTTTACTTACGTAGCACCCAGCAGTTTGGCGAGTTCGTCAAGGAATGCTCGTTCGACCCCGCTGTAGGTGCTGAGGCTGGCGACGACCCCGGCCAGCGGGCCCGCGCCCGCCCACGACGGGACGCGGACGGGCCGGTGGTAGTACTGGATCGGGACCAACTCTTGTTGGGACAGACAGTCTTTCTGGGAAAGGGAATGAGAAAGGAGATATGTACAGTATTTTCTCGTGTAAAATCATAGGTTATGAGTTAATCCCCGAAGTGTCTAATACTCGGCGTATCTAATGTGCGTAGTTAGTAAAAAAAACAAAAATAATATTTATTTTTCTGTCTGTAATTTTTAGGCATAATGATGTATTTATATAACCCCTCTGTGGTTCGAAACTAGTAGAGCTTTTCTCAGTATATTCACGTGAGTAACCCGCGATTTTTAGTTGATTTAGTATGTCTCACGATAGTTATTATCAAACATATTATTATCTAGTCAATAGTCTATCATAACATAACTTTAATATTGTAATTTAAAAAACAAAATTTTAGGTGGAGTAAATACAAATAAATTATTCTATTGTAATTCTATTCTATTCAAAGACTTAATGAAAATTAATCTTTATTGTAAGTATTACTAAAATATCGTGGTGTCTGTCATTTTAGAATTTGAACAGAACTATTAAAGAGCGTCTTAAAATCGTTTGAGTAATTGAACGTTACATTACTCACAAAAACAATATTCGAGAAAAGCTCTACTAATTTCAAGTCTCATAACAACATTTCATGTTGTTTAAAAACAGTTTACTTCTGCAGCAAACATCTTTCGACCTGTGTAGGTTTCAATACTGTTCTTAAATATTCAAATACTATATTAGGAGAGAGGTATTGTGTCTCTGTAAATGAGACACAATAGAAAACACTTTCTGTTTTGCGTAGATTAACGTTGCGACATATCACGGGTTAATATAACATAAGATCACGCCTTTTATCCCCGAAGGAATAGGCAGAGGTGCACTTTATGCCACAGTACAATGTAACACCCACTTTTCACTACTTATGTTATGAGTCCCATGTAATAGCCCGTGAGCCTATTGCTATATATCGGGCACAATTCCAGACTTCGTGCTACTACTGAGATTTTGCCATGTATTACTTTGCCCGACCCGGGAATCGAACCCGAGACCCCTTGCCCGGCAGTTGCACTTGCGACCACTCGGCCAACAAAAATGTAATACTTACAATCCAAAACACAGTGACGGCCTCAGCGTCCTTGGTGACCAACTCGTGTAGTTCAAAGTCGAGTGGTACGAGTACATACATGGCCCCGGCGCCCGGCCCCGCCAGTACTCCGCCGGCCGCCGACACTTCTGCTCCTAGCTCACATAGAGCTTCTTCGTCTAAACCTTGCACTTCTATTTTTATACCTGTTGAAGGAATAAAGGGGTTTTTAAACTAACACCGATGTGTAATTTTATAACATAACAAAACACAAGCTCGTACAAAATTCATAGAAAACTGTCGTTTTTAACAGTTCGAAAAAAGTATTGAATTTGACTAGTTAGCAAGTACCCGATTGAGTAGCTTTTCTGTATCAGTAATGGAAAGTAGGTATCTTAAATAATGTTGAACAGAAAATTAAAATTCCCTCATGACAATGATAAAATTATGAGAATGGCTTGCACGACTACCAAGCAAGGTGTTGCATTTGCGGATCAAGCAGGAGTTTTTTTTATTGAGGTATTAATTGCCGTGCCTACCTCTTTAGGGAAGAAAGGCGTGCTGTTATGTTTATATGTTTGTTTGTTTTTTTGTTGGATTCATATTTTTTTTTCGGTTACACTTAACCTACAGCTATATTGCTTGACTGCACGGTTGACGCGGTGGCTGAGCAACTGGCTGCCGCGCAACGTATCGCGGGTTCGATTCCCGCACGGAACAACTCTTCGTGTGATCCACAGATTGTTGTTCCGGGTCTGAGTGTCATGTGTATGTGAACTTGTATATTTGTAAACGCACCCACGACACATGAGAAAGTCCTAGTGTGGGGCAAGGTTTAAAAAAAAATGTAGGCATATGTTTCAGGGAGTCTAGTATTACATAGGATCATGCATCTTTACACCTTCGAAGAATAAACGGCATAGCCAAATCTTATAATAATGGTCCTCCTAATCTTATAGTAATCCTCTCTCACCTCTAAATATCTGTTCGATCTCCTCAGTGGGATCCTCTGCCACATCGTCGGTGATGTCAGGCTGACATACTAGTGCTACAGGTGGAGCCGACTCCTGATGAACTGGCTCTGGAGTTTTCTCTCTTTCTGGTTCTATTTGTTCTGGGATACAGATAAAAAATATTGTCTGCAGTTTTATTGTGAACTTTTAAATTGGAACTAAAATTAATAACCGCCCCGGCTTCACACGGGTGCAATATGCATATATTATACATATATAAACCTTCCTTAAGAATTACTCTATCTATTAAAAAAACCGCATCAAATCCGTTGCTTAGTTTTATAGATCTAAGCATACATAGGGACAGACAGATGGCGGATAGCGACTTTGTTTTATACTATGTAACACTACTAACCAAAATTCGTCCATACAAAAGTAGTTTTTAATCATCGGAAATAAGGTTTATAATAGTGTAAGTGGAGAGCGGTCACCGGTGACGGCTTAGATCTTGACCAATACTGTCTCGTCAAAAATTTTTGAGCCCTGATGTGACTCGAAACTGATCAAGCAAACTTATTAAAAGTATACTTGACTTGAAAAATCTTCGATACAAAGCTTATTGTCAAAGAATATGCTTTGACAATAAGTATAATCAAAATCCATACAAATTAAAAATCTCCATACAAAAATATACTAATTAATGTATTTTTCTAATTAATAATGTTACTTACGGCTAAGATAATGATTAACAAGTTCATCTTGAGGCTCTTCTACTTCTGGCATGGGTGGCGGCAGGTCTAGTGGTCCCCGGCGTAGTAGCGCGAGGTTACGTTTGCTCATAGGCGACGCGGGCTCTACGCGGGGCTTGCGAGCGCTGGACTTCGCTGGCGTGCTTGGTTTGTCTTCTATTAAGAACTGTGGATGAAATAGAAGTTCAATATATTATTTAATAATTTATGTTACGTTTTTATAATAACTATCGTGAGACATACTACATTTACTAAAGATCGCGTGTTACTCACGTGAATATACTGAGAAAAGCTCTACTATTTTCGAGCCACAGAGGGTTTACATAAATACATCATTACGCCTAAAAATTACAGACAGAAAAATAAATGTTGTTGTTGAAAGTTAGTAGATAAGTGTCTAAATCTTTGGTTAACTACGCACATATTAGACACGCGGAGTATTAGACACTTTAGAGATTAACTCATAACCTGTGATTTTACACGAGAAAATACTATACATATCTCCTTTCTGATTTCCGTTCCCAGAAAGACTGTCTGTCTCAACAAGAGTTGGTCCCGATCCAGTACTACCGGGGTCCACAGAGGGGTTCTTCCTCTTGAGCAGCGCGCGCAGCCGCGGCGATGTCGCGCAGCCTACTGACAGTACAGTTTTCTCAGTATATTCACGTGAGTAACCCGTCATATTTAGTTGATTTATGTTACCTCCCAAATACCTATATGTATTTTAGTAGTGGTGGTGTCAATTGATTGGTTCAAAGGATTATTCAATAGGGTTAATCTAGACCCAATGAGGGTTACGTGTTTTTGTTCACTGATTGGTGTTAATGTAATGTGAGATTTATTTGTACTATAACTGTAGATAACAAAAATTAAAAGTCTAAAGCTATGGTTTTACATTAGCTAATTATTATTTATCGGACAGTCAGAAATACAGATCTTAGGCTAAGGCAACATCTGACGAGAAAAAACCGTAGCTCTTATACACAGGTCATTTCTGAACCCTATAAAGTTAAATATCGAATCTCAGCTACATTTCAAAAACAAATAAATGTTTCTCTACACTTTAAAATGTACATAAATGCACGAAGCGTTTCGCATCAAGCTTCCTGGTACGTACTGCTAAGGAGTGGAATTCTTTGCCAGAGTCTGTGTTTCCTGAAGGGTGTGTTCAAGGCCCGAGTGAATATGTTGCTTGTGCGTCGACGTGCTCCATCGTAGAGCGCATCATCGCTTACCACCAGGCGAGATAGTGGTTAAACGTCGGCTCATCTTTATATATATATAATTCTTCTGTGAGGTGCATGTCACTGAACTTCTCTCAAACAACTGGTCTGATTTTGATGAAATTATTTGTGTGTGTTCAAGGGGATCTGGGAATGGTTTAGATTCACAAATCAGCAGTCAGTTGACGTTTCAAAAGTACCAAACTATGGTTTAATTGAAATAAATGCTTTGACTTTGACAGCCCGGCAGATGGCGCTGCAGTCGATGTTTAGGTTATTTATCCTAAACAGCTTAATTAATTTGAATGAATTTTTGTTTATATATATAAAAATATATTATTATCAATACATTGAAGTGGATATGTAGGACAACGTCTGTTGAGTCCGCTAGTCAAATATAAAAATGTCGTCACCTGTGCCTCATCCAGCGCGCGTCCAGCCTCGACACTCCTGAGCAGCCACAGCGGCGACAGCAGTGGCACGGCGGGCGCGGCGGCGCGCGCGGCGGACGCGGCGGCGCGCGGCGCCAGCACGTGCGTGAGGCGCGGGTGTGGCGCGTCGTACCGCACGGCGCCGCCGCGGGACACCACGCCCAGCGCGCGCTCGCGGGGGACGCCCTCCAGACCGCACACCCAGATCTACGCAACAACACAATTCATTATCATCGTCTTCATTTATTTCCTTTCCCTGTGATTCCCGGATATCATAAGTAAATAAGTATATCATTTATCTGCATAATACACATTATTAACACCAATTTAAACCATATATACTTACATAAATAAATGATTTACCTACTTACTTACATTTTTCGCTAAGGCAAAAACATAGCATACAAAGCTTGTTATTGTAACATACTGTACAATGTAACACCCACTTTTCACTACTTATGTTTATTTTGATATATTTCCAAATAAATAAAAAAGAGTAATGAAAACAACTTATTCATCGTTCATGACTGCCTCGTTAACCGAGTGGTCGCAAGTGCGACTGCCGGGCAAGGGATCTCGGGTTCGATTCCCGGTATATGTCAATAGACTCACAGGTGTTACTTCTGTGTGCACCTCTCTGCCAACACCTTCGGGGATAAAAAGGCGTAATGTTATGTTATGTTATGTCATTTATTTCCTTTCCCTGTGATTCACGGATATCATAAGTAAGTAAGTAAATCATTTATCTGACATAATACACATTATTACAATAGCCCACTATTGTAATTACATTAACACCAATTTAAACAATGTATTACACAAATAAATGATTCACCTACTTACTTACATGTTTCGCTAACATAAAAATATAGCATGCAAAGTTTGTTAATTTAGCAGAAGTGAGTAAGTAATAGTGATTTTATGAATGAAAATGTTAATTACTTACTCAGATAATATAACATAACATCACGCCTTTTTTATCCCCGAAGGGATAGGCAGAAGTGCACATTATACTACTGTACAATGTAACACCCACTTTTCACTATTTATGTTATGAGTCCCATGTAATAGGGGGTGAGCCTATTGCCATATACCGGGCACAATTCCAGACTCCGTGCTAACACTAAGATTTTTTAAAAACCCATTTATACTTTGCCCGACCCGGGAATCGAACCCGAGACCCCTAGCCCGGCAGTCGCGCTTGCGACCACTCGGCCAACGAGGCACTCTCATAATAATTAACTTACACAGAATCCATCGAAGATAGGTCCAGCCTTCTTGATGAGATTCATGTCGAAAGTTTCGAACGCCGTCACTATTTCCTTGTCTATGGAAGTATCACTCTTCTTCGTGTCTTGTGTAAACTGAAAATAAATCATTAATTTATAACTAGCAGAATATAATAAACTAGCTTTTACCCGCGGCTTCGCTCGCGTCACAAAAGGATAAAAAGCCAATGTGACATATACCAATACACACACCGCCATCTATACCAATACTTTTGTTTTCCCTCGGGAATATCAAATTTTTCCGGGATAAAAAGTACCCTATTATTTAATCCGGACTTCTAAGTATACAACTGCAAAAATTCATAGCAATCGGTTTAGTAGTTACGGCGTGAAAGTGGAACAAACAAACAAACTGACTTTCCGATTTATAATATTAGTAAGGTTTAAACGAAAACTGCTGCCGTGCAACGTGTAGCAGGTTCGATTCCCGCACGAAACAACTTTTTGAGTGATCCACAAATTGTTGTGCCGGGTCCATACCCGGATCATAGTGTGGGGCAACGTTTTAAAATATATATGTATAATAAAATAAAATGACTACTAACACTCAAACATTACACTATACAAAAAGACCTTTGTTGTTTTGAACGCAACGCAGTCGATCTCTAAAAATCTCTGTAAAATCTCGACTTATTCACTTAAGTCGAGATTTTGGCAAAAAAGGGTAACTATTTTCGTAATAATAACTTAAAAACCCTTGGGACAGTGAGTTGCAACCACTTTAACATGTTATAACTTTATTTTTATTATTAAACTGTCAAACACCGCGAGGACATCGGTGACCGCAACCTATTGTGCATTAATTGTGTCTATAATGACGGTACTCAAAGGGTTAAATGATTCAAATTACTATTTACCTTCATTTTACCAGATAACATAGTTGCATCCGCCGACCGCGTCTCATCTACAAAATTGCTCGGCGGCCTCACATTGGTTATACGAGAGAAGTTTAAACCTACAAACAGTACAAAAATATACATAAATATTAAAATTAATATGACTGCCTCGTTGGCCGAGTGGTCGCAAGTGCGACTGCCGGGCAAGAGGTCTCGGGTTCGATTCCCGGGTTGGCCAAAGTATTACTGGGTTTTTAAAAAAAATCTCAGTAGTAGCACGGAGTCTAGAATTGTGCCCGATATATGGCAATAGGCTCACCCTCTATTACATGGGACTCATAACATTATCGCGTCCTGTAAATATAGAAGCGTTATTGACGGCCTACTATGGTTTGGTTGAATCGGTCATTAGATACGGTGTAATCTTTTGGGGTAACTCAACCGATAGGGATGTCATTTTTAAGAGACAAAAATACTGCTTGCGATCTATGTTTAATCTCAAATCTACTGACAGCTGTAAAAATTACTTTATTAAATATCGTGTATTAACATTGCCTTCACTTTATGTATTAGAAATAACAATGTTCGTGAAGACAAATCCACATTTGTTTCCTCGTATGGCAGACAGATTTCCAAGGAATAGACGTGACGATAGCCAACTATGTTTACATACATCAAAAACTGCACTTATGCGCAAGAGTGTATTTTGCATGGCACCAATTATCTATAATAAATTACCCAAAAGTTGGAAAGAACTAACTATACCTAAACTAAAACAAACAATGAAATTGTTTTTGGCACAGAAAGCTTATTACAGTATAACGGAATTTTTAAGTGAGTCAGTGATTGTTATAAATAAATAACAATAAAAACTAACATTGCCCTAATTAAGGTTGTGTAACAGTGTAGGACACAAAGAAACATATTGTTAATATTATTACAATTGAATGTTATTAAATAATAAGTAAAATATATAATTTGTATAATAATAATTAAATCATTTTTAGTAAATATTAATTGAATATGAACAAATTAATTAATAATGTATAATATACTGCAGATATTTAATGTAGGTATAAGTGTAAATTTTAAAATTAATGTAATAATTCACAGTCATTAAAATTTTTTTTATATAATAGATATTTGCACGCCATGATAAATGGCAGACATGTCGTAAGCCACTTTTCTCTAAGATCTTGCATGCTGTATTATTTTAATTCTGTATGCACACACATGTTTGAGCAAATAAAATTCTTATTCTTATTCTTATTCTTAACATAAATAGTGAAAAATGGGCGTTACTTCTGTGTGCACCTCTGCCTACCTCTTCGGGGATAAAAAGGCGTGATGTTATGTTATGTAAGTAATTAACATTTTCATTAATAAAATCACTACTGTTAAAATAACAAACTTTGCATGCTATGTTTTTATGTTAGCGAAATATGTAAGTAAGTAGGTAAATCATTTATTTGTGTAATACATTGTTTAAATTGGTGTTAATGTAATTACAATAGTGGGCTATTGTAATAATGTGTTAATTCGTTTTGAAAAACAATTACTACCTAATGTCTTATTAATTACTAAAGAGCCTAAAAACAATTAATTTCAAGCTTCATATAACCTATAAAAAATTTAATAAGCGTCTCCGATACATGGTAGATGTAACCCACATGCACGAAGCGCTTCGCATCAAGCTTCTTTGTGCGTACTGCTAAGAAGTGGAAGTCTTTGCCAGAGTCTGTATTTCCTAAAGGGTATAACCTGGGTGTCTTCAGGGCCCGAGTGAATAGGTTGCTTATGGGTCGACGTGCTCCATCGTAGACCACATCATCGCTTACCACCAGAGATATAGAGAGAGAGACACGTGAGATAGTGGTCAAATATCGACATATAAATATATATTAAAAAACATATATAAAAAAATCAAAAATACTCACTCATATCAGGTAGCCGAGATTCAGCGAGAGGTGACGACGTGGATGCGCCGGCCACTCTATACTTCGCCAGGGGCAACGCTACTCCTTTGGCCGCTGAATCTTTCACCCACGACGGTAGTACAACCGCCTTACCGTATTCTAGGGCAGCTTTGTATTTTTCACTGCCTACACCTTCCCTAGAAGTTAAAAAGAATGAAAATCATTATTTTTGGTAAAGAAACATGATCAGACTCTAGAATGTTCTTTTGTGTCGTTGGTGCATCTACAACCATTATAATTTCACATCACATCTGAGCTCGGAACAACACTAAAGATTTACTTCTTGTAGAATCAAAAACGCGAAACGTCCCACAGCATCAAATATACAGTAATGTGTGTCCCAAACTATCTCCCATTACTTAATACGTTAATATATCGTGTCCAATACTTGTTTTTTTTTATGGCATAAGCCGGTAAACGAGCAGACGGATCACCTGATGGTAAGCAATCGGCATCGCCCATGGACACCTGGAACACCAGAGGCGTTACAAGTGCGTTACCGGCCTTTTGGGGATTAGGAGTTTGAGGATCGTTGGGGATTCAGGAATTTGGGAGATTGGGGAAGGGGAGAGTAATTGGGCCTCCGGTAACCTCACTCACACGACGAAACACAACGCAAGCGTTGCTTCACGTCGGTTTTCTGTGAGGCCGTGGTATCACTCCGGTCGAGCCGGCCCATTCGTGCCGAAGCATGGCTCTCCCACTCTGGTTCATACAAAAGTGGTCTCTAAACATCGGAAATAAGGTCTATAATGGAGTTAGTAAGACCAGTGACCGCTTGCGGATTGAACAGTTAAAATTATGTGGCCAGATAACTTTAGACGGCCTATCTCTTATTTTTAGATATACTATAAACAGATACTAACTTGGTCAACACAACAATATCAGTAGTCTCACTCTGGAACGCCCCTGAGAACTGTCCACCATGCTCATTAACCAGCTTCATAATTAACTGCTTATCCTTCTTCGGGATCCCTGATGTTGTGACCTGAAGGTTTGTGAATGGTGGCAGACGGTGGCCGAGGAACTCTGATGACGAAGCACTGATGTTCAGCTGGAGGGATGCCTCCCATACAGCTTGGATCCATGTTACTGCCATTATAGGGATCCCTTTTTCAACTGACTTCTGCAAAGAGTTCGGAAGGTTATATTACTGTGAATTATTAATCGAATTTCTATGGAGTATAGGATGTACTGCGTCGTTGGCCGAGTGGTCGCAAGTGCGACTGCCGTGCAAGGGTCTCGGGTTCTATTCCCGGTCTGGCAAAGTATTACTGGGTTTTTAAAAAAGAATCTCAGTAGTAGCATGGAGTCTGGAATTGTGTCCGGTATATGGAAATAGGCCAATAGGCTCAGGCTCACCCTCTATTACATGGGACTAATAACATAAATAGTGAAAAGTGGATGTTACATTGTACAGTGGCATAATGTGCACCTCTGCCTACACCTTCAGGGATACAAGGCGTGATGTTATGTTATGTTACAGGATGTACAAAATAAATAAACAAATACTCTTGAAGTTATGATATAAGAGGATAAAAACACTAATCGTCGACCACATCGTTCGCTTAAAAAATTGACGTGTAGAAGTAATGCCTTGTAGCTTATTTGCAGAAATAAATACACTTGTTTCACTAATGAAAGTTAGGAAATTAAGCTATTAATACCTACTTTTTTGGATTTTTCTTTTTGGTCATTTGCAATTTGTACTTACAATATACTTATCAGAGAGCACTGTGTCGGATATCAAATGTGTAGTGTCATCTGTTAGTACAGTACTGTAGATACCACCCATCCAATGCACTTTTCTCTTTATTTCTTCCTGAAACACAAACACATTCATTCTGTTAGTCACTTTTACATTTTTTTTTTTTGAGGGTGAATAATGAATATCATCGAGTGACTTCTCCCGCCTTGGGACAGGCGTGAAGGAGGGTCAGACTCTTACTAACTAAAAAAACCCACCGGTTCCTACTCCTGCTCTTCTAGGCGGTCTCCACGGCTCCGTAGCACTACTAACTACATCATTACTTCTACAATAATTATTGTAATGAGTAAAAGAAGAAACAAATCTTCATACCTTCTGTGTCTTAGACAATCCACTAGCAGTAATAGTTAGACCTCTCATGGCTATCGTGTAGACAGGCTCCGGTCCTGAAGGTATGGGAGTACCTTCTGTCAGGCAGCATGATAAGCAACGAGGACCTACCAACCTGAAAATGAAGGATATATTTGAAATTTTGGTGGTCATAATAGTATGTGGAATAAGGTTTTTCAAGGATATGTAGAGAATAGTTGATTAGAATCGTCACCGATTCATCAAGCTCCTTTGTGTGTGCTTCTAAGGAGTGAAATTCTTTGCCAGAGTCTGTTTCCTGAATGGTATAACCTAGGCATCTTCAAGGCTTGAGTGAATAGGTTGCTTATAGGCAGATATGGTCCATTGCAGGCCGCATTATCGCTTACTACCAGGCGAGACAATTGCTAAATGTCAGGCCATTGGAATGGTGAATTTATTGTCAACAGGTAGAATTTCAGCACATTATGGACTGTGCTGATGTCACATATTCATATTCAGTAGCCACTGATAAGAAAGTTATTGAAGATCACAAAATATGACAGTAAAACTTCAACATAATATGAGTATTTACACTTGGCAGTCCTCAAACTTACGAGAGATAGTGGTCAAACGTCAGCCCATCAAATATATTAAGAAAAACTTACTACAAACTCGTAACAGTTGCATTTACTTCGAACAAAACTTTTGACTTTTACAACTCTTTATGAGATATTCTATTGAATATCTGCAGCTTAAGGAATTTGTGAATGAATTTATTTCTTGATTATAAAGATCAAAATCGTTAAATATACTTACAAACACTTGGTGCCCTGCAGCCTCTCATAGAGCTCTCCCTCAAACTCTGTCAGAACAAACACATCTCTCTTAGTGAGCCCTTCAAACTTTGTCCATTTGCTCTCATGCACCCATTGTGCTTTCAAACCACCACCACAGTGCTGCTCACAAGTCTGTAAAGGTAGAAAATTCACTGTTATTGGTAGTTTAGGATCACAGTATAAGATAGTCTTAATGTAACATAACTAGTTAGACAAATTATATTTACACTTGTATTTAAAGATGTTTTATGAGTTCTAGTTCATCCTAGTTCTATATAGATACTACTTAGCATGAATATTGTATAAATAAAGTCGTCGAATCTTCGCAGAAGTATTGAAACTTGAAGTTATTCAAAACAAGAACGTCATCAGGCCATTACATATTTTCGATGTTCTCTAGATAAGATTATGCATAAAATAGTTATTAAATCATTTGTTCCAGTGTAGTACATTACTAGTAGATTGTGGCAATTTTACTTATCGAACAGTATCATAGTATTTTCAAGCATATAACTTACGAGAAAGGCAAGTTGCATGTCTTCAGAACATTCATTTTCAGATCGGCAATCTTTCGGTATAATAAACGTTACACTTATATCTTCAGCCATTTTAGCACAATGTTCTCTTAAAAATTACTAACAACACACCAATTTCCACGGAAAAAACATACTTTTCATGAAAAATCTACTTTTAACCTCTCAACGTGATTTGTTTACAAATTTTTGAAAGATTGACCGAATGGTTTGTAACGTAGAACGATTAACCTGACAGTTGAATTAGAAGTTTACCGCCATTTATTGTTTTCGTTCTGAAACAGGGTATCGTATGAACTGTTTCCTAAAAATATTAATAAATAGGGCTTTATTACTTAATATAAAGTAATATTTGGACCTCAAAATATTTAGGAAATTACAAAAGTCAGTTATCAAAATTAAATGTTAGCATACTGCCTACAATTTCGATTAATTATTTTTCATAACTTTCCGAACATTGCACAAGATGTCATAAAAATAAATAATGTGATCTAATATCATTCATTCGTTCATGTTTAATCGATAAAAAATTGCTCCTCGAAGAGGTTATAAAAATGTGAGAGTTTTGTGTCTCAAAATAATTATTAAGATAAAGTGAGATATAAACCGTAAGAATGTTGTACGACGATTTTAAACCGATTGTTGACTTAGTTTTGAATAACTGGACAGCGTTACAACTGGCTGTCGAACATGGGATGGGTGCACCTGGGGGTGAAAAGGTAATATCATTTAAATTAAAGAAATGTGTTATTCTATCAAGCATGTCTTCAAAACATATTTAGATCATCCCTGTATTTAAGTGAAAAAGAGTGGTATCTTGTCGATCATTCCGCTCATAAGGTTTGACCTTTTATGTGCTACAGCATTTTTTTAGCAACCAAGTTGCATTTTCAATAATAAAATCTATTATTCGAAATATTGTGAATGATGGTGCTTTATTCATTCATATTTCATATCACATACTTTAACATAATTATTAAATATGAAGCTATATTTATAAACAACCCTCGATAGATCACTCCAACCTCTTATAAAGTTTATGATAACTAAGAATCTGTGCTGCGATGAACTTAACAATGTTTATAATCCTTTATAGTAAACATTTTGAATACCATGTCTTATGTAAACTATAATATAAACATTACGCATTAGTTCCTTCCTACTGCTACACCTATATTACTGGGATAAACTACCCATCTGTTATTCCGGACTATTGAACATCCTTCTCGATTCCTATTTTCCTTTTTTTATCATAAAAACTTCGCCCCACACTAGAATTTTTTCCCCTGTGTCGTGGGTGCGTTTACAAGTGCACATACACATTACACCCAGACCCGGAACAACAATCTGTGGATCACACAAAGTTGTTCCGTGCGTGAATCGAACCCACGACACATTGCGTGGCAGCCAGTTGCCCAGCCACCGCACCAACCGTGCAGTCGTTATTGATCAGTAGTTTCTATGTTGTAGAAGAATAAACATATGTACATAATACATGCTTTGAATGCAAAAGTTTTGTGTGTATGTTATTTAAATGTTTTCTTCTTGTATTACAGACTGCGCAACTGATGGCAGTGTACATAGCAAGATACTGCGTTGAGAATGTAGTGGACAGAGATGAACTCGCTGAAGTTATTGAAGATCTCATGGACGAGGAGTTTGAGACTGTCTGTCATGATGACTCGCCCAGAGGTAATTTTTTCTTTGTCACCTCGATAATAAAGACCTGTTCAATACTCAGGATTTGTTAGGAGTTCTTTGTTGGATTATAAGGCTATTGTAAATACTGGCTACAGACAGAATTCGACTGAATACAGACACAATTCGATGAGAGTTTAGGGAATAGAGATTGAAGTTGCCTAAGATCGGAAAATCTTAGGGAATTCACTGGGCTGGTCATGTCTGCAGCATGTTAGACGAACAGCGAGCAAAACTTACTACTGAGTGGAGCCCACTCAACATCAGTAGACATTGTGGTAGGCCCAAAAGGAGATGGTGGGACGAATTAGACATCTATGACAAGGATTGGCCGCAAAAAGCTTTACATAGAGAGGAGTGGAAGGAGAGTAGAGAGGCCTTTGCCCTGCAGTGCGACGATCATGGATGTAAATAAAATAAGATCGGAAAAGGGGGATCCTCCGACCAGACGAGGTGTTAGTGGCTGGCAGGCTTTCTGCCCAAGAGTTGTTCAATGGGGTTTTCTATGTGTTAAATCAAATGTAAACTTTACATGGATGGATTTTTGTGATGTCAAAGTCAAAGGCACTTTTGAACATCAACAAAAATCCTGTTTTCATACTATGTTTCAATTTATTTATTTGTTAATTATTATTATTCTTTACAGAAATAGCAATTCTACTACTACAGTTCTTAACACTTCTCAAAGAAGGTCGACATGATGAACTCCGAGCTAGGCTGGATGCAATGCCCAAATGTCAAAAATGGTTGAGCCAACCGATACATGAATCAGTACCTCCACAAGTAAGTAGAAACATTAACAAGAACTACTATACAAACACGGAGTATGTAAATAATGGAGTACCCAGTCAGGTTTTTTGTCTATATTGACCAAAGAAGGCTTTGTACCTCATTTAATTAAATTAATAATTTGGGAATCTCGTATTCTTAATTGACAGAAGAATTGTACTCTATTCAATTGTACTATATTGCTATTCCAGCAATACCTGATAAGTAGTAAAAATATAAAATCAGAAATCATGTAAAAAATTTATCTTCCAGTGCCATGGCAATCCTGATGATGACTCAACATGCAGTAGTGATGATGACGATGATGACGTGCCTGACAACAATATGAATGGGGCAGCTGCCTCTTCATCCAAACCAAAACAAGAACCAGAGCCAATGGATGAAGACGGAGACCCTGGATGGACAGTGGTTAGATCAAGGAGAAGACATTAAAATACTTGTTTTAAAATTTTATAGGCAAAATTTTGTTCACATTTGAGCTGCTATGATTGAAAACATATCTAGTTCATACATACTATTTGAAATTAGTATTGTATACCATACATAACTATTTTTATACATGTCAGATAAAAATTAGTATTGTATACCATATATAACTATTTTTATACATGTCAGATAATTTTCGTATCTATTGCATTTGTAATAAGATGCAGAGTGTAGTTTTCAATAGCATTAGATAAAAAAAAATGATGTTCACATTATAAAGATTTTCATCATCATCATCAACAGCCTATAAATGCCCACTGCTGAGCAAAGCCTCTTCTCACACGGAGAAGGTTAGAGCATTAATCACCACGCTTGCTCAATGCGGGTTGGCGATTTCAAACTTATAATTAGAAATTATAAGTCCAGGTTTCCTCACGATGTTTTTCCTTCACCGTTTGTCAGTGGTGTCTAAATAATCTTAGAAAGTACATATAACTCGGAAAAAGTCACATTGGTACTTGCCGTTGGTAGGTTTCGAACCCGCACCCTCATGCATGAGAAGTGGGCATCTTAAACCTCCGAGCCACCACGACATATAAAGATTTTAATACTTTGTAATAGGGTAGATGCCAAATTTTTATTTTAATGTCCGTCTGTGAAGTATTTTAAAACATTAGACACGTATTTTTTATTTTCTTATAGAAACGAATATTTTCGATGAGATATTGATTTGAAATGTCGCGTGACGTCACTTCTATGTACCTACATTTTGTACGTAGAAATGACGATTTAGCCCCCACTCCTAAATTTTGATTCGTTTTGTCTAAGTATCGTTTCAACAAAATAAAAAAAATACGTGTCTAATATTTTTTCATTACCTAACTTACGGACTAATTATATTTTTAATTTTCATACCCTGTCATTATCCCAATTCACGTGTACACACATACATGGTTTAAATAGTAGCACAATGAATATTATAAGCAGCTCAAATGTGAATAGCTATAGTTGTTGAATGGTTTTAACAAATCATATAGCTTTCTATGTATATTGTATAATGAATTATGGTTAATGGGGTTGATTTGATACTCGGAAAATAATGATTATGTGGTATGTTGTATTAGGGGCCATTCAAGTATTACGTAAGCATCATAGGGGGGGGGGTGTCTCTGTTTTGCTTATTTTGGATGATATGGGGGGTAGGGGAGTCTAGATGATGATTACGTTATCGGTATAGTTATTTACTTTTTTACACGAATGGCAACCATCATATTGAAATTATTAATTATAAGCAATGATCGACAAAGAACTAGACATTATGGTATCTAAGAGAATATTAAAATTACAATATAAAAAAGATATACATAATTTAAAATGTTTACATAAGCAAAGGGGGTAAGATCTTTGCTTACTTTTACTAACAAGGGGGATGGGGGGTAAATTGTAAAAAATCTGCTTACGTAAAAATATTAGGTACTAAATAAAACATATCACTTAAGGAATGGTTTCCCAGTAGGCATGCGACTCTATGTGAGAGCTTATAAAGGTTTTAAAATACAAGCGCCAGCAGGTCAATCTGCTCCTTTCTGTCCTTTAAATTATTTTGACTTTATAATTTTGATATAAAGTCGAAAATCCAATAAAAAAAGAAGCTGCTGGCGTATGTACATAACAATGTAATTGTTAAGTGTCTCGTAATTCATTGATCTGAGTGCTGTTGTAAGTACCTGTATCGATATAAGTATCAAATCGACCCTATTTTTAGGGCCCTAATGTTGTAATGTACCAACAAGATCCTAAATAAGTAATAACACCTAGAATTTTTAATAATATTGTGAAGAAAATGATATTTTTGTTTTGATTTGGAACTCAATCCTAAAATATTTAGATGGTTCAGAATATAAATATTTTTTCACGTAATAGTTGATAGTGATAACATTTATCATTTCATAATATTTACTTTTTACACTTCAATTTTCAATAATAAGAAAAACAAACATTGAATATGTTAAGCACTCAAAATTTTGTAAACTAGACAAATCGAAAACACTCGCATATTAAATAATCTGTTAGTATTTTTATGAGTACTCCATTTGTTAGTACTCTGTGGTATTTCCTGAGTACTTGTAGAAGTACATAATTATAAAAAAATATAATACTACATAGATAAATACATTTGTAGATAAAATGTATGACAAGTGTGTTGTACCAACACTATTTATTTATATTTTTAACTACATACATACATAAATAAATATGTATATTAATGTTGATGTGTTTGTTTCAATTTTTTACCCTAAATATTAGATGATGGTCATAGATTCATCAGAAGAATCTGACGAAGAAGATCAGGAGAATACCCAAGGCCCAGAAGAAAGAATGGCGGGACGAACTCGACATCTGCGACAAGGATTGACCTCAGTAAAAGAGGAGAAAGGCTAGGGAGATCTATGTACTACCGAATAAATTAAAATGTAATGAAAGAAGTACTCTTCTAACTCGTTGATCGCTAGTCTCACAAGCAAGTGATCTTGGGTTGGGTGGAACAAAGTAGTTGTTTTCCAATTTGGAGGATTTTTTTTTTTTTTTTTTTTTTTAAGGGGGGAAAATCATCGAATGACTGCCCCCGCCTGGGTGAGGCGGGAGGGAGTGTCAGACTCTTACTGACTAAAAACCACCCCGTTCCTTCTCCTGCACGTCGAGCCGGAGCCCCGGTTACCCGTTAGGTTCTCCGCGACTCCGAATCGGCATCGGCCCTATTGGACCCCATCTGTGGTGGTCTGATGGCTCTTTGAGGCGCGCGCGGAACGCGACGCGCCGTACGCTCGGGTCTGTTTCTGGTCGGACGGGGAGCCACCCATGTTCGCCGTCCGCAGGCCCGCGCTTACGGTGGCCGGAGATCGTCCCGCGATCCCCGACGCCCGGTGTGTCCTTCGCGATGGCTGGGTTGCGAGGAGGCAGCGCTTCGCTGCCTCACGCGTCCCGCCTCCTCCTTAGCTAGCATGACTGCTTCGCAAAAGGAGGAGACGGCATCCCAATCCTCCTCGCTCCGCATCATGGCCTGCACTAGGCCCGGACGCGAGAGGTCGCCATCGCCGATCACTTCCCTGAGGACACGGCGGTGCTCAGCCCACGAAGGGCATTCTCCCACCGTGTGTTCCACCGTGTCCTCAGGGCGGTCCTCGCAGTGATGACACCCGGGCGTTTCCTCCCGCCCCATAATTTGGAGGATACGACGCGGACACGCTCGAATACTGTACTGCATGGGCAGAGCTGCGTCGTGAACTCATTGCAGTGCTCAGCGCGGATGATCTCTCATTGTAGTAGGTACTATGTTCGACAGTGAGAGTGCATGGGACGGAGTCGCTTCCTCCTGCGAACGTGTCATGTTAGCAAAAGAGGCGGCTAAAAAGGAGAGGGAGGCATTCAGCTCTCTCCCCTCTCGCCATAGATGTGTCTGTCGTCAACGCCACGAGATGGTAGCCGATCTGCTGCGACCTCCATAGGACAGGCCTGCGGGCGACTGACTAAGGGAATAGGCGTTAGCGTTATGTTCCACGCACGCTACTCGAGGAAGGAAATCAGCCTGCAAGGGCTGCTTAGTGGTGGGACCTGCCGCAATATAGTGGTAGGTCGAGGTGTGCCAGGTGCGGTGATTCCGGTCGGATCTCGGCCACAGGCATAGGAGGATTTCCATCGTGTTATATAAAAAAGTACTTATAGTTGTTTTCACTCTTAGAAGTTTTCTTAGGAGTAAAATAAACCAACGACTCCTTTCTCTGAAGAGAGAGTGTCAGTCATACTAACTAAAGATCATCCCATTCCTACTTTTGTTGTGAGCTGGGGTCGTTAGGTACTTTCTAGGTCGTCCATAGCTCCAGGTCGAGTATTAGCACTATCAGCTCAATTGGGCCCATCAGTAATAGTCTGGGCCTTTGAGGTCGCAGGGAACGCGACGCACTACACACACGGGTCTGTTCAGGTCGGGCGGCCAGCTACCCTTGATTGCGAGTTTTGCAACAGTAGACTATTTTTGTATTATATAGTGCAATAATTTTGCAATGTTAGCTGACAAACACTAAAGGAGGCCATACACGTACGTATGATGGTTTTAGCCGTCCATGCATAACCGACAACGTGATTAAACTGTACAGTTATCGGTGCTATGACACTCGGTTATGCTTGTCGGTTTTGCATGCAAAGTTATAACCGTCATGCAAACCCTAGCGTGTGTGGCCGCCTTAAGTAATCGTTTCATTCTCTTAAAAAAAAAATCTGGAAATAGTATTTCGAACGCATTCCCACGTAGTAAATTCAGCAGATAAGCTTCGTAAACGCTTTTCCAATGTCAATGTCAACTCTACGTCACTCATGTTATGTCAATCAGTCAGTGTCATTTTCAGGTTTGGGGAGATTTCACACGTAAACTTCCTTCTGAAAATAAATTCTCATTTACGTGAATTTCGTACGAGTGTGATTGTGAATTTAATGATTTAGATAATAAAATACAAGAAAAATGCCTCTAACGGCTAGACAACGGAGTATTCACAATAAGAACGGAGCTAAAAGGGCTACAAGTTTTAGCAAAGGAAAACGAAAAGCGAACGAAGGGTATGTAAAGAAGCCCTTCAGTAATAATATAATACGCTTTATTAATGTCTATTATTAAATTCTAAACTTTGCTTACTGTTTCGCGGTATAAAAACACTTGGCATCATTTATAGGTTATAATAATTTTTATTTTGGCTCATCAATGCTCTAATTTGTTGCTGGTGCTACAGTTTGGCGCTTATCCAGACGTTTCCGTACTCAAACAAAGGTAAAGACCGTCCGCTGACGTTAATTAAGCATGATGCTGAACTAACAAAAACTATTTTTGCTGAAGTGCTATTTTTTTTTGTTAATACTACATTAGTAAATGTCTATCTAATATTATTATAGAGCCACTACAAACGTGCCAGTCTTATATTAATGGGATAATGAGTGAAATAATTACTAATCCATAGATTAGTTTACATGTTTCTAATAGGATTTGAATATGAATTATATTTCAGCTTGAAATTGTGTCAGCAGTTCTGTCAGTTGGTTAACACAGCTGTTTCATATACTCTATTTCATTTATTTATTAGTGTAAGCTATCAATGAATTATATTTTGTTTATTTCATTTCATTTGTAAATGATAAATGTATCTACAATAGAACTATATTGCAAAAGTATGTAGGTATTGGTGTAAAGATACATTTCTGAAACATGATGTTGCGTTTCCTAATACTCTACTTATATTTATGTATTCTTTGTGTGTTTATTTTAATTATTTTCATCTCCATTCATTCTAAGTACCAAGTTTTCTCGATCTTCTGAACTAAACAATTTGAATTGTTATTTATGTGTTATTAAATTAAATAATTTACATTCCAAGATATACATTAGGCAGAACTCCTAAACTTTTCCTGTGTACATAATCCCACACCCCCTATCTTCAGTTGAATTGAAAATGGACTTAAGAAACCTATCAATTAAGAATTAACCCATTTAACATTTTTGTAAATCATCCCCTAAATTTGTTCATACAAAAGTAGTCTCTAAACATTGGAAATAAGGTCTATAATGTAGTTAGTGGACAGTGATCACTGGTGACCGTGTGGGGATATACGGGTTAATGCCTGAGTAACATGATTCCTAACAACAATTTAATCTTTCAATAAAGTCGAATAAGAGAGGAATGGAGGCAAAATACTTATAACTGGCTATTATTAACCCTTTGAGTACCGTTATTATAGACACGTTTAAAGAACAATATGTGTGCGGACACCGGTGTCCTCGCGGTGTTTGACAGATTAATTAATGATGCCCACTATCCATTGTGTGCCAAACCCAATGCAATTCCTCTAAGCCAGAATTACATTCAACCATGAAAACACTGAAATACTAAAGTTAAGCATGTCTCTGGGACCCCGAGCGTACGGCGCGTCGCATTCCGCGCACGCCTCAAAGAGCCATCAGACCACCACAGATGGGGCCCAACAGGGTCGATGCCGATTCGCAGTCGCGGAGAACCTTATGGGTTACCGGGGCTCTGACTCGACGTGCAGGAGAAGGAACGGGGTGGTTTTTAGCCAGCAAGAGTCTGACACTACCTCCCGCCTCACCCAGGCGGGAGCAGTTATTCAATGATTTTCCCCTCTTAAAAAAAGCATGTCTCTGGGACATGAATAAGTGGCTCCCCCTATCTTTTTAACTGATTTCCTTCACTTACTTCCAATAAAAGACTTTGTATTAATTCTGGTCCATAATATATTTCAGAGAGTTCCTAGTAACAAACGCTCCGTCAGACCTGCGGAGTATAGCATACCCAGGCGGTGCAGTAGCACTCGGTCTACTGCTGACCGCCCGTATTGTGTCTGCGTACTGGGGACACATTGCTGATTGTGATGAGACTTATAATTACTGGGAGCCATTGCATTATTTGGGTAAGATGTTTAAAGTTCACATTTCTGTTTGTTGATTGTTTTTTTAATACATTAACATTTTTTTTATTTCATTATAAAAGAAGATTATAGATGACATCATCTAATTTGATTATGATATTCAATTCTTATATTTTACGTGATTTAGATCAAACAGAACAGGGAAGGGGCAAACAGACATTTCTTTGTGGGACGTCGTTATGCGATCACGCTCATCTCTTAAGATAATTCTAAATGTCAAACAAGTGTAATATTACCTTTTATGATAAACTTTCATTACTTTACTGACTGTTATCATTGTGAATACAATATTTTAATAAGGACAAACTGAATAGTTCTCTTTACTACCATTTCCTTCGACGTTTCCGAGAATGGTGCAAAGTACCTCTTAGGTTTTTCTTATAATCACAATCGAGCTGTATTTGCAACAAAACTAGATGTATCAGTTTATCAGTACATTTTTAGCTAATAACTTACGACTATGTTTTCCAGTGTATGGCAGTGGTCTACAAACTTGGGAATACAGTCCAGACTATGCAATAAGGTTATAAATTTTAACTAATAACTTACGACTATGTTTTCCAGTGTATGGCAGTGGTCTACAAACTTGGGAATACAGTCCAGACTATGCAATAAGGTCGTATATGCCATTATGGCTGTTTGCGGTACCTGCCAAGATACTATCCTGGTTCATGAGTCCTGTGTCCGTGTTCTATGCCCTACGGATTGTGTTAGCCGTGCTCTCTGCTTGCGCTGAGCTTATGTTTTACAAGTAAGTGTGTTTATTGTATTGAAGTTAACATAACATAAAATCACGCCTTTTTGTTCCCAAAGGGGTAGGCAGAGGTGCACATTATGCCACTGTACAATGTAACACCCACTTTTTACTATTTATGTTATGAGTCCCATGTAATAGGGGGTGAACCTATTGCCATATACCGGACACAACTCTAGACTCCGTGCTACTACTGAGATTTTTTTTAAAAACCCAGTTATACTTTGCCCGACCCGGGAATCGAACCCGAGACCCCTTGCCTGGCAGTCGCACATGCGACCACTCGGCCAACGAGGCAGGTATTGAAGTTAGTGAGTATTTAAACCTAATGTCTCATGGATTTGTGTGTATAAACAGATTATCATTACAGAGTTTGCCTGAGTGATAATTTCGAAGATTAAAAAGTTGAATAATACTAGTTATTGGTACCCAACACGGGAATCCGAATTTTGATTCTTGACACAATTTTTTCGTTGCAACGACATTGGCAATAAGGTAGTCAAGGCCTTTAGCCAAACGCCACTTTAGTTCTTGTCTACAGAGAGAGTAGAAAACTAAATATATGGGGATGACACTGACAAGTGTCAAAATTTACGTCAATCCCATATAATCCTTACTTATATTATAAATCGGAAAGTGAGTTTGTTTGTTTGTTCCACTTTAACGCCGTAACTACTAAACCGATTGCTTTGAAATTTGCAGACGTAAAGTTAGAAGTCCGGATTAAATAATAGGGTACTTTTTATCCCTGAAAAATTTGATATTCCCGAGGGAAAACAAAAGTATTGGTGTAGATGGCGCTGTGTGTATTGGTATATGTCACATTGGCTTTTTATCCTTTTGTGACGCGAGCGAAGCCGCGGGTAAAAGCTAGTTATTTATAATTTGATTTTCTATTCTACATGTAGACAAGCGCTAAACGGCATTTGGCTACAGCTGCAGATTAGTATTACATTGTTTAGGGAAGATTTATCATTTCATTACAGAGTTTGTATTCATAAACCAAATATAATGGATGTTTCATAAATAGGTAATGAATTTTATTCCCCAGAGCAATATGCCACGAGTTCGGTGTCCACGTGGGTAGAGTATGGTTGGGTATGACCCTGCCGGCGGCGGGTATGTTTGCATGCAGCGCCGCCATGTTGCCGTCCGCGTGGAGCGCCGCGCTTGCCAGTGCAGCGCTCGCCTGCTGGTGGCGGCGCAGATACCCTACTGCTATATTCCTGACTGCCGTCTCGGCATTGCTTAGTAAGTATATTATGATAATTCAGCAAGATTTTTACGCGTATCAAGAGAGAAAAGAATTATTCATTTGCAGATTACGAACAAAGTTAAGGCAAATCAAGAGACAAACTACAGCTCATGAGGACTATTTAAGACAAGACTTACTTTTTACTAGGTTTGTTATCAGTTTTATGCTATACTTGGTATTTGGATTAGCAGTCATTCCATGTCAGTGCGGTTGGCGAGCATGGCTAGCTCGCCGCCCGACCAGAATCAGACCCGAGTACGGCACCAAGCGTTCCGCGTGCGCCTCAAAAAGCTATCAGACCACCACGGATGGGGCCCAATATCGGGGCGATGTTTACCGGGGTGGTTTTTAGTCAGTAAGAATCAGACACTCCCTCCCGCCTCACCCAGGCGGTAGAAGTCATTCGATGATTTTACTCCTGACTCCACCAAAAAGGCAGTTTCACTTTCAATTCCTTCGAGATTGGAAGTCCAAGTAGAGTTCGCTCAATACGTTATTCAAACATAAGCCTTCTTGTTCGAAAAACTCTAAAAACAACTCTATCCTCCATTAAAACCAATATTCCTTTCCAGGTTGGCCGTTCACAGCTTTACTAGGAATACCCATCGCCATTGACATGATCATAATGAAAAGACAAATAATTGACTTTGTAAAATGGTCCGTAATATCCCTGATAGCTATAATAGTGCCTACAGTGTTAGTGGATTCTTGGCATTATGGGAGATTGGTGATCGCTCCGTGGAACATTATTGCCTACAACATATTTACTGAGCACGGACCTGATTTGTATGGCGTGGAACCCTGGACTTATTATTTTGTTAACGGATTCTTGAACTTCAATATTGTTTGGGTGAGTTTCTGTATAATAAGCTTTATGTACTGTGTATTTGGGTTGAATTTTGAACTGAGCTGAGCTAAACAATATAGAATTTTCGATTGCATAATGACAGGAATACATCTTATTAATATATTGTTTTGTTGTTAGTCAAAATTCGACCTTCACTTGGAGAAAATAGAGTCTTTTTTTACATAAATTCTATTCTCCTCTAGGTGCTATGCTTATCCAGTCCAGTGTTCCTATTGGCTTGCTCGGCAGTAGCTGGACGGTCTACTACGTGGGCCGAGTACTGTGCTCCATACTGGCTCGATTTACTGACTCTTGTACTGTATTGTAATTAAAATCAATATTATTTTCCTCTAGGTGCTACCAGCTATACCTATCAGGTCAACAATTCGCGCCGTGTACAAAATTCAACCTTATTCCCAAATAAAATAGAATCTCTTATTGCATACCGCATATGAATTATTTTCTATTTACTAGAGGTAGAGCCTGTCATGTCCAGTGTTCGTGTTGGCTTGCACGGCAATGGCGGGTCGTAGTACAGTGTGGGATACGTTGAAAAATTCAACCCTAAACATATACGTAATAGAATCCCCTATTGCATATCTCCTTAGGTGTTACGGCTATCATGTGCAGTTTTGGGCGTAGTATTGCGCTGGCGTCGTTACAAAATTCAACCTTAAATCTTTAGTAATACAGTCTGATATTGCAGAACAATAATAAATAATAAATATTATTCTATTCATTCTAGGTGCTTTGTCTATCCTGTCCAGTGTTTCTATTGGCCTGTACGGCAGTAGCAGGTCGGTCGACAGCGCGGGCCGCGTTCTGTGCCCCGTACTGGTTGGATCTACTGCCACTTGTACTGTGGTTGGCTGTATTCATGCTACAACCGCATAAGGAGGAGAGGTTTGTTTTTATAATAACTATCGTGAGACATGCTGAATTAACACGTTAAAGACTGTTGTTTTGAATATTAACAATGTGTAGTAGTAACTTAAGGTGCTGCCATCTGTTATGTATGACGTTAACTATTTTTTTTGAAATAAAAGTTAGTTGTACCTTGTCAACCAACTTACGTTGTTTAATTATAGGTTATGGGCCCATGGGGGTCACCGGTGACTGGCGTTAGAGGAGGATTTACCTTCAATAGCTTTTTATTGGCAGCCAAAGTCTTAACTAACAATTACGAGTTGTTCACGTAAATATGCTGTAGTTTCGAGTAACAGAGGGATTTTTCCTCATGAGCAGCGTACGCGGTCGCGGCGTTTTCACGCAGCCTACTATTGCCTATTACTACTCGAAACTATTTCAGCGTTTCTCAGTGTATTTACGCGAATAACTGTATTTATAGTTAATACAGACGAGAGATATGTTTTTCTATAACTGATTTATTGAACTGATTAGATTTACTGTCATTTTCCTGTGGATAATTGATTGAACCCTTTGAATTCCGTCATTATAGACACAATTAAAGAACAATAGGTTGCGGTCACCGGTGTCCTCGCGGTGTTTGACAGTTTAATACTGCAGCTACAATTTTTTTTTAAAACATTGCCCCACCCCACACTAGTATTTTCTCCTGTGTCGTGGGTGCGTTTACAAACATACAAGGTCACATACACATGACACACAGACCCGGATCAACAATTCGTGGATCACACAATGTGTTGTTCCGTGCGGGAATCGAACCCGCGACACGTTACATGGCAGCCGGTTGCCCAGCCACCGCACCAACCGTGCAGTCATTTTTTATCTTTATCGATTTAGATAAATAATCATTTATATTCGAGCAAAAATTTTGAAATGAATGGACATACCCTTATAACGGTTTACTTAATCTAAAATGTTTAAAAAATGTGACACTGCATAAATTACAAAGAAGAAGTACTTGCTATTAATATTCTTCATTCTTTAATCCCCAGGTTTTTATACCCAGCTTACAGTATGATAATCCTGGCGGGCGCGATAGCACTCGACTGTCTACAGAAGCTCACGTTCGCAGTCGGCACGGAACTGTTTCGCTGGAGGAGGGAGCGAGAGAGGAGACACTATCTCGCTTACACCGGCCCTCTAATGGTCATGTGTGTACTTATTGCCGGATTTGCTGGTAAGTGCTGTTCGGTTCTTGGGTTTGAATAATATGAACTTATTCAGTAAACAGTATCTTTCATGAAAGATTTAAAATGCCTGTTGTAAATAAAACATAGGTATGAATATTATTTAGAAACTGTATTTATTTATTAACTTGTACTAACAATGCTTATATGAGAAGTAAGAGGGAGACCATAGAGAGAGGGATGCTTGATGCCAGAGACGAGATCAAAGACAATGGTGAAGCCAACTTAAAAACAATGCATTTACATTGTACCAATATAACAACAATGCCGACAATAATCAGGATTTTTGATGATGCTGATATGATGATATTGTACCGGAAATCCAAAAAAATTGTTCAATCAAAAGTAGTCTCTAAACATCGGATTTAAGGTCTATAATGCACTGAGTGGAGACCGGTCATCAACTACTAAATATGAGTTATCATGTACAAGCTAAGTTTTACATTAGGTGCACTAAAGGTGCTAGTGTATTTAATGGTTTATTGTCCAACATAATATTTGCTTACATCAGTCAAACACCTTACCAGCGCCATCTCGTGGGTGGACAGTAAGACAAAAACAATCCTTACTAATATTATAAATCTGAAAGTGAGTTTGTTTGTTTGTTCCACTTTCACGCCGTAACTACTAAACCGATTGCATTGAATTTTTGCAGACGTATAGTTAGTAGTCTGGATTAAACAATAGGGTACTTTTTATCCCGAAAAAAAATTGTATTCCCGAGGGAAAACAAAAGTATTGGTATAGATGGCGCTGTATGTATTGGTATATATCACATAGGCTACTTTTTATCCTTTTGTGACGCGAGCGAAGCCTCTGGTAAAAGCTAGTAAAGCACAATTTCCAATTCCAGGTCTATCCCGCATAGCAGCTCTATATACAAACTACCACGGACCTATGACAATACTCCGAGACCTGCCTCCATCTCCCGATGCAGAACTAACAGTCTGCTTCGGCAAGGAATGGCATCGATCCCCGTCTAGCTTCCACCTCCCTGAAGGATACAGTGTCAGGTTCATACCCAGCGAGTTTAATGGACAACTGCCTGCACCTTATGCTGATAGTCATAATGGTGAGTTAATATTAAGTGATATTGAGAAACTGAATACAGACTGCCTCGTTGGCCGAGTGGTCGCAAGTGCGACTGCCGGGCAAGGGGTCTCGGGTTCGATTCCCGTGTCGGGCAAAGTATTACTGGGATTTTAAAAAATTCTCAGTAGTAGCACGGAGTCTGGAATTGTGCCTGGTATATGGCAATAGACTCACCTCCTATTACATGGGACTCATAACATAAATAGTGAAAAGTGGGTGTTACATTGTACAGTGGTATAATGTGCACCTTTGCCAACCCCTTTGGGTGATGTTATGTATAAGTCACTGGGGGAGGCCTATGTTCAGCAGTCTTATGTCTAATATGATGATGATGATGATGATGATAATATAGCGCGAATCTTCCAATAGGGTAGATGCCTAATTTTTTTTAATATCCGTCTGGTAGATTATTTTAAATCATTAGACACGTATTTTTTATTTTCTTACAGATACAAATACTTTCGACGATATATTGATTTGAAATGTCGCGTGACGTCACTTCTATGTACATTTTATACGTAGAAGTGACGTTTTAGCCTATTCCTAAACTTTGATTCGTTTTATCTAAGTATTGCAACCTAATACGAGAAAATAAAAAATACATGTCTAATATTTTTTCATTACCTAACTTACGGACTAATAAGATTTTTAATTTTCATACCCTAGAAGTCGCGGGCAGAAGCTAATGCTTAATATTAATCTTCTCTCTTTACAGCAACGCGCCTCATCCACCCACATTTCAACGATCTCAATAAAGGTGACAACAGGACTTATATAAAACCTAAAGAATGCCACTACTTGGTGGACTCAAGCATCGGCCGACCATCCACACTTGAGCCCGCATACCATAAAGACTCCGCCACATGGGAGGTCATCTCCAGTGTTCCAATACTAGACGCCAAAAAGTCCCATCAAGTGTTCAGAGCATTCTACGTACCAGTGTTGTCAAGTAAAAAGAATGTTTACGCGAATATGTATCTGTTGAAGAATAAGGTGCTGGTTTAAAAAATAATTATGTATGTTCCTTTTTTTATATTAATTTCTATTGTAAGTATGGCAATTACTTTGTCCGAGAAACGTTGTTTTGTATCATAGATGGCGCTGGGGTAGATAATGGTACCGTGACACAGTAATATTCATTTTTAGACCGTTTTTACCAGCTATAATGGTGGTTTTCTATCTGATTTGAAGTCCTAGGTTGATCTCTGGCCTGGACAAAGTTGCAAATTTGAATTAAAGTTCATTTTCCCAATGAGTTTGCCCCCATATATAGGAATTACATTCTAAAAAAGTGTACCATTAGTACTTCAGAGTCTCCTTAAATATTATAGACATGTCTTACGTTAATATTGAAGTACTTACAGTGTATAATAAAATATCAATTTTAATATAGTTACCATTGTAAATGTATATAAATTGTATTAACACTACACTGCCATCTACAAGTAGAGATGAATTAAACTAAACTACTTAGGGTTAAGTTTTGTTGTGTCTCAGTAGCAGACTAATTTAAATCACCCGACAAATAACTTGATGAGAACCAAATTTTAGCTATAATGAATTTTTTTAAAGTTTTATTTATGCATATTTTAACATGATATGACCAAAAAATCGATGCTAATAGGGTAGTTTCCTATAATTTATTTTAATGTCCGTCTGGTACATTAATTTAAAACTTTACCCACGTAATTTTTCTTTTCTCACAATATTAAATACTTTCGACGATATATTAGTTTGATATATCGTGTGACGTCACAGTGTGCCACATTTTGTAGCACGTTATGACGTAACAACCTAAACTTAGCTAGCGCTATTTTATCTAAGTATTGCAACTTAATACGAGAAAATAAAAAATACGTGTCTTATATTTTTTCAGTATCTAACTGACGGACTTATGTCGGAATAATCAAATGCTACTCAATTTTAAGTCCCGCTTAAGTATAGTTTTATCTCTACAAATTGTTAGTGAAATGACAGAGATGGCGCGATATTTAAGCACAACTTAAAATTGAGTTACGTTTCAGTATTCCGGCATAAGATTTTTAATTTTCATACCCTGGAAACTACCCAATTGTCAGAATTGCTAACGAGATTTTAGACAATCGAAATGATGAATCTTCGTTAACACTTTATTAAGAGAAACTGTTACATAGCTAGTATTAATAAACAATAATCTTTGTTTTACTATCTAATAATAATAATTCTACAGGTTGTATGTCTACTCACCCAGGGTACACTCAAACAATAAAGGAAAACATATCAATTATATGTTTTTACAAGAGCACTGAATAGCTATATGTATAGATACCAACTTAAATAATGGTACTAGTCATTATTTAACAAATTTTAATTATATGCTTAAATTATATTGTAATTAAGGTCGGCGCAGACGAGGCAAAAACGTTAAAATAGATGTTTTGAAAGTATATTTTTGTTTGTTTATCGGATATTGTAATTCTCTTAAGTGCCGGTATATGAGACACAATAAAAAATACACTGTGTCTCGCGTAGATATACGTTCCGGCATACCACGGGTTAAGGTATCAGACGGTTCGAAGACCACGGCGACATTGATCGACCACTGCGCCATGCTCTGGAGCAGGAGATCCTGAGCAGCGGCGCAGTGGTTGATGTTCGCCTGGAGGAGGCGGACACTCCTCTGATCCACTGACACTCCCTTCCGCCTCACCCAGGCGGGAGCAGTCATTCGATGATTTTCCCCCCTATCAGACGTGAAGTATCAGACGGTTCACTCGAATCAAGTTATCATTCACCCCTGTGAATGTTTCATGTATCCTTCATTCCATGTTCAAAAGACTTAAGTGGAATGCCAAAGAAATGAACATTCATTAAAATATGTCATCGAGTGATGTCGTGCGTCTCGGAATCACTTTAGTTTAAGATAACTGTTTAAATAATCAAATCCGAGTGAACGTTCACTCTGTGTGAAGACAGTTCATTTTTTGTTCATTCGGAGTGGGAGTGAATGATTCCGTTTGCCAAAATCCAACATTGTTAGTTCGGTCCACTAATGAACTCAGTTTGCAGTCTTGTTTTATTCTCATGTTCAGACGTATCATTTAAAGTAAAAATGCTGAATGAAAGACAAAAAAAAAGAAAATTAAGTGTTCCCACACTTAAATTTTCTTTTTTTTGTCTTTGCCATGCTTCGGCGTGAATGGGCGGCTCGACCGGAGTGATACCACGGCCTCACAGAAGACCGACGTGAAGCAACGTTGTGTTGTGTTTCGTCGTGTGAGTGAGGTTACCGGAGGCCCAATTACCCTCCCCCCCCCGTTTCCCCAATCCCTGAATCCCCAACAATCCTCAAATTCCTAATCCCAAAAGGCCGGTAACGCACTTGTAACGCCTCTGGTGTTCCAGGTGTCCATGGGCGACGCCGATTGCTTACCATCAGGTGATCCGTCTGCTCGTTTACCGGTTTATCCCATAAAAAAAGCAAATATGGATCTTCTGATATCACCTTTGGCACGAAATATTGAATAGTGTAATAATTAAATCTGATATATGGCAATAGATTCGCTGTTATACAGAAGGTATGACGCGGTGAAAACCAAACTAGCAACTAGCCCATATCCCCAAGCGGTCACCGGTGACCGCTCTCCACTAACTACATTATAGACCTTATTTCCAGTGTTTAGAGACTACTTTTGTATGAACAAATTTAGGGGATGAATTTCAACGGGCTAGAACTGTTACTACAAGTTTTTCTGTATTCACACAGTTCTGAATATATTTATTTCATCTTTGGACAAAAGTCGCTCGTCTGCGCAAGCGCCAATAGTAATAATTTGTTAGTCGTAAGTTTTTTAGTGCAATAATAATGTTATAGGATAATATTTTTAAGTCAACTACAGATGCTTAGTAACTTAGGGTACAAAATATTTAATACTTGAATGAATTAAAAACGTAGATAACACACATAAAACCGGCGAATTAGGTTACTGGGTTACCAGATATGTTGTAAATGTTATAATACCAGTTTCTTTGAACCTCTTAACCCTTTGAGTACCGTCATTATAGACACAAAGAACAATAGGTGTGCGGGCACCGGTGTCCTCGCGGTGTTTGACAGTTTAAAATGTCAAGGGCGCCATCTGTTGGCAAAATTCAAAAGCTCTTCGAGAAAAATCAGCCATGATCGTTTTCCACGTTCGAAATGCGAGTCAATTATGAGTTTGTAGTTGGAATTTCTTCCTTATTAGCTTGTAGTAAGATTGATATTAAATTGATGAGTACATTCGGTATCACGGTTGCACGTGCAGTTTTCTGGACTTCAAATATTGTAATATGAAATAACAATAAACACTGCCTTGTTGATTGCATGGCTAGAAGTTTCACTGTCAAATAAGATGTTTCGGGTTCGATTACCATGTCAACGTCGAGTAATGTTTTTATTAAATTTTCGGAATACTTAGCAACAACATGAATGATTTTTTACAGAAACTATCCCTTGATGAAATAAATGACGTGATGTTAAGTTACATTATTAGGTGTATTTGCAATATGTTTGAAAATGAAATATTTAATTTAATAGATTTTAATATATTTTCTTGAGCTAGACAAATTAATTTGTATTTGCATTTTTATAAGCACGACGCAATTTTGATGTAACTATTGTTTTGTGGTTATTCTATACTTTTTATCATTAAAGTTATTAATTAATTTTTGGTCTTTTATTTCATGTTCTTTCAAAAAATTCTCAGTAGTAGCACGGAGTCTGGAACTGTGCCCGGTATATGGCAATAGGCTCAGCTCACCCTCTTTTATATGGGACTCATAACGTAAATAGTGAAAAGTGGGTGTTACATTGTACAGTGGCATAATGTACACCTCGGCATACCCCTTCGGGGATAAAAGGCGTGATGTTATGTTATGTATTTTGTGTTTATGGTGAATTGTGTATTTGTCGTTGTAAATATAAAGTAATGTAGAAAATGATCTATTGGAACGTGGATTTAATTAAAAGTGTTGGTATTTACGTTGATAACACTTACATTGTTCATTTACAGTTACATTGTTCTAACATAATTGAACTAACGAAAGAATGTAACCAAGAATATTGTATTGTAAAACTGATTGAAAAAAAGTAACCTATGGAGTTTCTTGCTCATTCTTCTCCATAGGAATCTGCACTTTGGAACGAGCAAAGAGCTTCACTAGAGGACTGACTGACAGACTGACATATTTTTTTAAATATTTCGAAGGAAACAATATAGATTCCCTTCTTGGATAAAGATAAAAAAAAAGTTTTGACGTTCCTGGTTCTTTCTGGTCTAATAGAAATAAATGATTTTGACTTTGACTTGACTATAAAAAATAGTACCTACAATACCATTACCACCATAGATATAATAAAGACAAAGTGCAGTACACACTTTGTAGATATGTACCAGTGTTCGAAAAAATACAATTAAGAGAAATATTGGCCATACAATTTAAAAATTATCGAACCATTGCATCGAACCTATTTGAACTTTGATAAAAATACAGTGAATCTAGTGGGTTTCCAAAACCCACATAATCTAGTAAGCCATGAAACAACGCCTTAGCTGTAAGCTAGTATAATTTTATTTTTTAATTATTATAATTAAATGTAGGCGTACTATAACGTTTTCTGTTTTTTAATTAGTTTTTTATGATTCCTTTTGGAGTTTTTGTTTAGTTGTTGGATAAATTCTCCGTGCTATAATGAGAGAAATTGTTCATATCCAAGTCGGGAGGTGTGGCAATCAGATTGGATCTAAGGTAAGTTATTTTTTTAATATATTGGGAAGAAAATGCACACGTATAAAATTGATTATCCGCAACATTAGCGCATTTACAAGTGGGAAGGGGTTTGTAGGTCTTCGATAACCTCATCCAGGGGCTGCGCTAATAGGGTAGTTTCCTTTTATTTTAATGTTCGTCTGGCAGCCTACTGTACTGTACAATATTATAGGCTGCGCGGCATCGCCGCGACCGCCCACGCTGCTCATGAGGAAGAACCCCTCTGTGGTTCGAAACTAGTAGAACTTTTCTCTCTATTTTCACCTGAGTAACCCGCGATTTTTAGTTAATTCAGTATATCTCACGATAGTTATTACACAGGTATTTTTTTCATTTCTCACATAATTAAATACTTTCGGCGGTATATTACTTTGAAATATCGTGTGACGTCACAAAACTACATTTTTGTACCACTTGTGACGTAACGACCTCCGACTCATATTGTAATTTTAAACAAGCAAATAAAAAAATGTATATTTTTTAAAAATCTAACTTTTGAGTGAATAGGTTGCTTATGGGACGACGTGCTCCATCGTAGACCGCATCATCGCTAACCACCAGGCGAGATAGTGGTCAAACCTCGCCCCATTAAATATAAAAAGAAACTTATGGACTAATTAGATTTTTAATTTTAATACCCTGGCAACTACCCTATTGCTTATCATCAAGTGATCCATCGCGTTTACATTCCATCGCATTAAAGAGAGGAACCCACTTTTTGTAAAATATAGATTTAAAGCCAAAGGTGAATAACTAACTAAACTATGTCCGTACCTAAATCCGATTAAAACACTAGTTCTTATACTTTATTTCCAGTTCTGGGAAGTTATCTCCGATGAACATGGCATTGATCCAACTGGCGTGTACCACGGCGACTCCGACCTTCAATTAGAACGCATACAAGTCTACTACAACGAAGGACTATCCGCCAAATTCGTACCAAGAGCTGTACTGGTCGATTTAGAACCGGGAACCATGGACACCATTAGAGGAGGAGTCTACGGACAGATATTCAGACCAGACAACATCGTATTTGGCGTCACTGGAGCAGGCAACAACTGGGCTAAAGGATACTACACAGAAGGGGCAGATTTGCTTGAATCTATCCTCGACGTTGTGCGAAAAGAAGCTGAGGGCTGTGATTGCTTGCAAGGATTCCAATTAGTTCATTCTCTTGGAGGTGGCACCGGTTCCGGATTAGGAACGCTGCTTTTGGCGAATTTAACGGAAGAATATCCAGATAGAATTTTGGTTACCTACTCTGTGGTACCCAGTCCTAAGGTTTCTGATACCGTTGTGGAGCCATACAACGCCACCTTAGCAGTAAATCAGTTGATAGAGAACTCCACGCAATCTTATTGTATCGACAATGAGGCTTTATACGACATTTGTTTCCGAACACTAAAACTGCCTACTCCGACGTATGGAGACTTGAATCATCTGGTGTCTTGTACCATGTCAGGCGTTACAACTTGTCTTAGGTTCCCTGGGCAGCTAAACGCAGATCTGAGAAAGCTAGCCGTGAATATGGTCCCGTTCCCTAGACTGCATTTCTTCATGCCTGGTTTTGCTCCTCTAACGTCTCGAGGGAGTCAAAAATATAGAGCTCTTACAGTACCAGAGCTTACACATCAGATGTTCGATGCCAAAAACATGATGGCAGCGTGCGATCCTCGACACGGCAGATATTTGACAGTAGCAGCAATCTTTCGTGGTCGAATGTCCATGAAGGAGGTAGACGAACAGATGTTAAATATCCAGAAAAAGAATAAGGAGTTCTTTGTGGAATGGATACCGAACAACGTGAAGACTGCTGTATGTGACATACCTCCGCGAGGTCTGAAGATGTCTTCCACCTTTATTGGGAACACTACAGCTATACAGGAGTTGTTCAAACGTATTTCGGAGCAATTCACGTCAATGTTTAGGAGGAAAGCCTTCTTACACTGGTATACTGGTGAAGGTATGGACGAGGCTGACTTCACCGATGCTGACAACAACCTCAGTGACTTGATATCCGAGTATCAGCAGTACCAGGACGCAACTAGCGAGGACCAGGAGTTTGAAGATGAAGATGACGCCGAGGAGGCCAATGAAAGTGATGGATAAAGTATTTTATGTTATGTATTTATTTTAATAAATTATTTGTTTGAGATCGATTCTATGTTTTATTTTATCGTCACCACATGATGTCAACTCCGAAAGCTGATTTTATTTGCGTAGTGCGAGGTAAAACTGCCTCATTGGCCGAGTGGTCGCAAGTGCGACTGCCGGGCAAGGGGTCTCGGGTCTCGGGTTCGATACCCGGGTCGGGCAAAGTATTACTGGGTTTCTAAAAAAATCTCAGTAGTAGCACGGAGTCTGGAAATGCGCCCGGTATATAGCAATGGGCTCACCCCCTATTACATGGGACTCAACATAAATAGCGAAAAGTGGGTGTTACATTGTACAGTGCATAATGTGCACCTCTGCCTACCCCTTCAGGGATGAAAGGCGTGATGTTATGTTATGTTTGTGAAAGGTTATAAAATCAGTAACTGATTTCTTGTAAGTCATATCATTAGAATGAAAACCAGTATTGTTACTTAAATATTTATTGTAACAAAATTATAAAACATCAAAACGAATAGTTACGCCTAACACTAAACAAGGACATGGACAACACAATACATTGGACACGTACAAACATTTAAACATTTATTCTTCCTCCACTTCTTCGTCAAACTCTCCCTCGTCATCTGCCGTCGCGTCCTGGTACTGCTGGTACTCAGACACCAGGTCGTTCATGTTGCTCTCCGCCTCTGTGAATTCCATCTCGTCCATACCTTCACCGGTGTACCAGTGTAAGAAGGCCTTCCTCCTAAACATGGCAGTAAACTGCTCAGAAATCCTCTTGAACAGCTCCTGTATAGCCGTAGTATTACCGATGAAAGTAGCAGACATCTTCAAACCCCGCGGAGGTATATCGCAGACGGCAGTCTTGACATTATTCGGAATCCATTCCACGAAGTAACTGCTGTTCTTATTCTGGATATTGAGCATTTGTTCGTCCACTTCCTTCATGGACATGCGACCGCGGAACACTGCGGCAACGGTGAGGTATCTCCCATGGCGGGGATCACACGCCGCCATCATGTTCTTCGCGTCAAACATTTGTTGGGTGAGCTCCGGTACAGTGAGAGCGCGATATTGCTGGCTCCCTCGAGATGTCAGCGGAGCAAAGCCAGGCATAAAGAAATGCAGTCTAGGAAATGGTACCATGTTTACAGCCAACTTCCTTAAGTCTGCATTCAGTTGTCCAGGGAACCTGAGACACGTCGTCACACCCGACATAGTTGCCGAGACCAGGTGGTTCAAATCTCCGTATGTAGGGGTAGTCAGCTTCAGTGTTCGGAAGCAGATGTCGTACAAAGCTTCGTTGTCAATGCAGTAAGTCTCATCGGTGTTCTCGACTAACTGATGGACTGATAGGGTTGCGTTGTAGGGCTCTACCACCGTATCCGATACTTTAGGGCTCGGGACTACGGAGAAGGTATTCATAATCCTGTCAGGATATTCTTCTCTTATCTTGGAAATGAGCAAGGTACCCATTCCGGAGCCAGTGCCGCCTCCAAGAGAGTGGGTAAGCTGGAAACCTTGTAAACAGTCGCATCCCTCAGCTTCTTTTCTAACAACGTCAAGGACAGAATCTACTAGTTCAGCGCCCTCAGTGTAATGGCCCTTGGCCCAGTTATTTCCTGCTCCCGATTGTCCAAAGACGAAGTTGTCGGGGCGGAATATTTGGCCAAAAGGTCCGGAGCGCACAGAGTCCATGGTGCCGGGCTCGAGGTCGACGAGGACAGCCCGCGGCACATATTTGCCGCCCGAAGCCTCGTTGTAGTATACGTTGATGCGTTCGAGTTGTAGATCGGAGTCTCCATTGTAGGCACCCGTGGAGTCGATGCCGTGCTCATCGGAAATCACTTCCCAAAACTGAAAAAGAAAAGTTTTACGTTATTCATGAAGACTGGACATCAGCGACTCGGCTACAAAATCAGATTTCCAATCTAGTTCTGACATTGTAGGTACCGTAATGTTATGTCCGTGTTTCTCTCAGTCGTCCTGGGACCCGGAATCTATGCAATGGTTAGCGACAGGATAGTCAAACTTCGTAGATATACGTCACGTAGTTTAAATTATGCCTTACCTTGGCTCCGATCTGGTTTCCGCATTGCCCGGCCTGAATGTGGACGATTTCCCTCATTTTTACAAATTCCACAAATAATTTAGCGCCTAAATTATGATGTTAAGATTTCACTTTAGTTTAATTTGTCATCAAACGGCTTAAATAAAAAAAAACTATAAAAAAATAGTAACGTATTACCGAATGTGCATAGTACACGAAATTTTCTTTAATAATGAGAAGTGTGCATTCTTTTGTCAATGTTTCAAAATTTTGGTTGGTTTTCAAAAATCGATTTCATAAACGAAAAATCTATATAGCCAGGCTTTCTGCCTGGATTGTATTAAAACCTCCATTATAACTGTAGTAAAACTTTATTATTGGTTAAAATACTCTCAAAATAATTTGATACGAGTGAAGTTTCCCATTCACTATACGACTTACAGCATACGCGTGTACAACTTTACACTCGCAATGCAGTACACGTTTCAAAAGGCCGCACTCGCGTAAACAATATTTTGATGTGTTCATTCGAACCGGTAGTGGCATATCGTTTTAGTACCAACACGGATTCTGACTTAAGAACTGTGCACACAGCGCAAACAGTATAATAAGTATAGGGGAAACACAGCGGGCGCGGTGCGGCGGGACGGGACGGCGACGCGATGCTGAGCAGTTGTATGTAATGTACTAGATATTACGGACGACGCCACACAGAGCCGTCGGTTCCCGTCACGTCTTTATACAACGCTCGTACGAGTTGTACATGTGTCAAAAGGTGCGTCTATACGTGCCTACTTGTGCTTCCAATTCGAACTTAGGGCTCGTACACAAAACTGTGATGCAACGTCACATTGCAAAAATCAAAATCTTATCTTCCCAAAATCATCTTTGTTTCTTTTTCCTGTATCTCCTAAGCAATAACAAAAGTGCACACTTCTTTTTACGATCCATGTCACGACCTAGTTTTCAATTTAAAATACGTTTAGTACGGTTGACGGTCGTCGAAGGAATGGTCACTCTGGGAGACGCCTTGTCGGATGAAATCGCAGCTCAGCAATTCGTGTCGTATTTTTTTGCATTGCGTTTTCGCATCGCAATGCTGTTTTGTATACGAGTCCTTACATGCGTGTCTAAAACTAATATGAAACCGTTCTTAATAATTTTTTGGCGTAACAAGAGATTGACATTACGCGAACTTGACATCGTGATAATTCACGCAGTTGTCATTTTTAGAAGTTAATATCAGAAGTAGAATTTAGAAATTATGTCTGTCCTACCAGTCGGTGCGCTTAAAATATACCTATCCAAAGCAAAATTCACTAAGTTCAAGTAACCTTGGTGAATTTTGCTTCCTAGCTAATTAACTACTATTTATTGTATGCAAGATATTTTAGCTCTCAAAAGAAAACGAAAGTAGGTAAATAGAATATCAGTTTTATATTTATTTGGACATACACAAGGACAAACACAAACACATAACCGAATGTTAATTGCTATTCTAAACCCTCGCCTTCTGCTTCTTCGTCAAACTCTCCCTCGTCATCTGCCGTCGCGTCCTGGTACTGCTGGTACTCAGACACCAGGTCGTTCATGTTGCTCTCCGCCTCTGTGAATTCCATCTCGTCCATACCTTCACCGGTGTACCAGTGAAGGAAAGCTTTCCTCCTGAACATGGCCACGAACTGTTCCGCTATCCTCTTGAATATGCTCTGGATAGCTGTTGTGTTTCCAATGAAAGTGGATGCCATCTTCAGCCCTCTTGGTGGAATATCACAAACTGCTATCTTACAGTTGTTTGGTATCCACTCTACGAAATATGTGCTGTTCTTGTTCTGGATGTTCACAAGCTGTTCATCTACTTCCTTCATGGACATACGTCCTCTGAATATCGTGGCCACGGTCAGGTACCTCCCGTGTCTCGGGTCACAAGCAACCATCATGTTCTTGGCATCAAACATTTGGAGAGTTAATTCGGGGACTGTAAGCGCTCTGTATTGTTGCGCGCCCCGTGACGTCAACGGCGCGAAGCCAGGCGTATAGAAGTGTAATCTTGGGAATGGCACCATGTTGACGGCAAGTTTCCTCAGGTCTGCGTTCAGCTGGCCAGGGAAGCGTAAACACGTCGTGATGCCGGACATGGTGGCGCATATCAGGTGGTTCAAGTCGCCGTACGTGGGTGTCGTGAGCTTCAGCGTCCTGAAGCAAATGTCGTACAGCGCTTCATTGTCTAAGCAGAACGTGTGGTCGGTGTTCTCCACCAACTGGTTCACCGCCAGTGTCGTATTGTACGGCTCCACTACGCAGTCCGAGACTCTTGGGCTCGGAAATACAGAGAACGTCAGGATGATTCTGTCGGGATACTCTTCGCGTATTCTGTTGATTAGGAGAGTACCCAAACCAGAGCCAGTGCCGCCCCCGAGCGAGTGAGATACTTGAAAACCTTGAAGACAGTCACAGCCTTCCGCTTCTCTTCGCACTACGTCGAGACAGGACTCGAGGATCTCTACACCTTCAGTATAGTGGCCGCGAGCCCAGTTATTCGCAGCACCATTCTGTCCGTAAACGAAGTTATCGGGTCTGTAGAGACAGCCGAAGGGTCCTGAGCGCACAGCGTCCATAGTGGCAGGCTTGAGGTCCACGAGGATGGTACGGGGCACATACTTGCCACCGGACGCCTCATTGTAGTACACGTTGATGCGTTCCAGTTGGAGATCGGAGTCGCCATGGTAGCACCCGCTCGGGTCGATGCCGTGCTCGTCGGATATCACCTCCCAGAACTGGAGACAAATACAAGAAAGTTTACCAATTAGCTATGCATTTAGATAATTATGCACTTGGAATCGTTAGGTCGCTGCGTAGGGATATTGTTATGTAGATATAGGTCACTCTCACCTTTCCGCCAATCTGGTTTCCGCACGAACCAACCTGAAGGTTAATGATCTCCCTCATCTTGGTAATTTATCGTGCAGATTTATATTACTTGAAAATTTATCGTAAAATTATCGAAACTGTTTCTCAAAATTGCTGCTTAACATTAGCTTAAAAACTAATAAAAAAAAACTAAAAAAAAAATTCTCTACGCAAAAATTACACCGTGTGCATTTTACGTCGGATTTCAGAAAAGTGATTTCAAAAATGGACAATTTGACGTTCGAGAATTTTGAATTGCAGTTCTAGAGTATTTTTTACTTTTTTTAAGAAGTAAACAAATCGGCCAGTGCTTCATTTCCAGCCATACAATCATTATGAAAACAGAGCTATCCGGGCTCCAAGAAAACCACATACTTCTAAATAAACAATAAATATAACTCAAATGATCACTATTCTGCTTACCTACTCCCTAATCCATTAATATGACAGCAATACGGAACGTCATCTAACGGTGTTGACAAAAACTAAAAAGCTACGTAGATGTGAAAGTTTCAGGTGTTCTATTTCAGGCTTACAGTGACGTACGAAGGAAATAATTCCGCACTCGCATACTAGGTGTCGCTGCCTACCTTACAGGGTTGTTTTGTTTTCAGCGGCGGCGGACTGTCACTATTGTCATGGCGTTCGCGTGAAATGTCACCGAGGTAGCGAATCGTTTATACAATGTAAATTATTAGCTTATCCTGTATGATGTAGCTGTGTTTAATGAGTGCCGTGTGTGTGGTGTGCGAACGCCCGTGGAGTGATGTCAGTGGCCGGTGGGAATGCGACCGCGGAAGAGAAAAAACCTGGTTATTGTGAGGATAGCACGGACAGCGACAATGACACGGAGAGGAAGAGACTCCTTCGGAGGATATCAACAAGCAAGTGCGTCGGGAGACTCGTGAGTAGCATCCTAATGAGATAATAGTAAAGGATCTGTTGTTGTACCTACGGCAGGGCGTGCCAACTGTCAAACGCGCGGGGGGCGGGGGCTCCATGTGCCCGGACACAATTTTCGAAGATCAATTTTTCAAGTTATAATGTTTGTTTAGCGATGGTATTAAATTTTGTGTGCTCAAGTAATGAGATGTGGAGTTTGACCTATTTGGGGAGGCGAAGTGTGTTGTGGAGGGGGTAGTACGGTGACAATGATTTCCCAGGATAAACTTGATCCTTCATATTTATTGATCTCCTTGCTCTGACAGGTGGTTCAATGAACTTAGCGGTCCTAGAACAATGCAATTGTTATCAAATACAATACGTAAGATTCAAATATAATTCCAGTTTATTTAATTTTCGTCAAAAGATGTTAATAAAGTTAGAGTAGGCGTTCTATTTTTGCAGTCCGCCTTAGTTTTCGACACGATGATAAATGGCTTGGGCCAATAAGAGCGCCATGGATTTTGGCGGTAAAATATCGTTCATTTAGGAAGACTGATTACCGAGAGTTTCAACAGTAAAAGCTTTTCTTTTGTAGTTGTAGCGTTTCAATAGCTAACGTTTCAAGTTCGTTAAGTGAATTTGGATTATGAAGATCCTCCTTCCATCGTAAATACGTTTACAAAAGCTGTATGAATACACATTAGTTTAATTGAAAACAGCATAGCGGCACAAAAGCTTGGCAATTATTGTATTACTAACACGACGAGCGATATCACTTTATTAATTAGTAGAGTACTATTACAATCGATCTGTTTCTGTGGCCAATATTTGCATATTAACGCGGTATTCGCTAACTAAACGCTTTCCAGCTAATGGATTGGGTATCGCCCCAAAAAATATTGGCGGGCAGTGGTTCGATTCATCATGGTAAAAGTTCACTAGTAGTAATATAGTATTTAGACTAAGTTCCTGGTTTTTAAGCATTTTTCTTGGGATGGGTACTCTCATCAGAATTTGGTCAGTTTTCCAAGTTATTGTTGATTTTAACTAGTTTTCACTTTAACCATAATAACATCTTCTCGCTATCTATCTTAAAACTCACCAATGCTAGCTATCTTACCGAAAGGTTAGGAATATTGATAGATAAGGGATGCGAGGTGAGACAACCCCTACATCAAACACCGAACCCTTTTTTACGAATTCACAATCATAAATCGTCGCCCTTCGACAGTAGTGCTAAAGTGCGATAATGTTTCCACTGAAACTTTCTTAGCACACACTAAGTTTTAAATTATTATTAGCATTAGTCACAAACAATCATTTAAGTCTTTTCCTAAAAAACTTTTTGAACGAAACTAATTTTTTTTCAGGCGTTTTAGCAAATTTCTATTATACAAGAACGCATAAAACCGAACTCTCGCATCGCCAAGAATCTAAGCAAAACTCAATTCAAAAGCAATCACTGCGAACATAACTCACTCGCATTCTCACAAGAACAACCCACTAAATAACATAAATTCTGGCCACATTACATTATACAAGACATTACCTAATTCCTTAACAGCATTCCAACCCTTATCACGCAAATTCAACTTCGCAACTATCTTATCTTCTATTTGACAGTTGTCAGTAGGTAGGTATAGGTACTGTCTCCCAATTGCCAACATGAGAGGCACCCTACGTTACACCACGTCCGACCACGGATGTCCGGTGGCTGTCAATCTTTTCACTGTTCCCGTTTTGTGTGTTTGTCCCTCCTATACTCCACGTCAAGCTATGCAACACCAGTATAAAGTGAGCGTCGAATGTGCGGAAGGATCATACAACGCGAGACCGTTATAAATTGGTTTTGTTTAGCTCTATTTGTAGCTGTGTATATATAACTATGTATGTGTGTATATTGTATGTCTTCTCCGATTCCCTGTGACCTTAGCTAACCCATTTGTAGGTCACTGTCTTAAGTGTGTTAAGAGCTGTTAGTTCTATATATGTTGCTATGAATGGTATACAGATTCGAAGCTAAGAAACGAAAATGTATTCTAACTTACATCTTTGTTCTGTAAACTTTTTTTTTATTTATTTGATGTGCCGATGTTTGGCCACTATCTCGTCTGGTGGTAAGCGATGACGCAGCCTACGATGGAGCAAGTCGTCCCATAAGCAACCCAGATGCTTCAGTAGTATTAATCAGTCCCTGTAAAAATCCCGGAAGGCGGTTGCTGCCTCGAAAGTATAAAACTCCCAATTCAAGAAAACCTGACATTTGCCCTGTAGTCCATCATTAGACCAACTAGATCAGCAAAGCTTGCATACATTTTAAATCTTAATGCCTTATAAATTATCTTTTAATTAAAAAAAAAACTATCCACCTACAATCAAAAGTGGAAACATCGTAGTCTGTCTTCCATATCAAAACGAACTCTATTCCGAGAAGCTTAAAATGAATATTGCAACAGGAGATTCAATGAAAGGGGGAAGCCGAGCCGTATTTCCGCAGTATGCGTTTTATCCGGAGCAATCAAATTATACTTGAGATGCGAACTCCATGCTGAATCATATTCCTGCATCTGCAGTCTGATTGATTGATATGAAACGTGTTTTGTTCTTATTTTGGTAATAGCAATTATTATTAACTAGCTCTTACCCGTGGCTTTGCACGTGTATTCCTGTTTTATCCCATGGAAGCATTTAATCGGGATAAAAAGTATCTTATCACCTAAGTCAGACCATACTATAGGCCTCCTCTACATATGTGGGGCTTACACAGCTTACACATAGGACCCACTTAGTTTTTAGTCTTCTTTAGGCTTAATTGATTCTGTCTCTTGCAGTAATTCACTGAGGAAAATGAAAACTATCGTTTTTTTCTTCTCCTCTTATAATATCTTCTGATTCATTTCGTTGTGGGAACCAAGACAGTTATTCATGTCCCTGAGACGCGTCGGACTTCAGTGTTCCTGTATTTTCATTTCCTGGTCGTATCTACGGTAGATCTTAGCTTATAGAAGTTGCAGCGGTTTTGGGAGGGTGTGGCAGGATTGTCCCATTAAAAAAAATCGTGAAGTTTTCGTTCATATCGACGCTGCTAGGCAGATGGAATAGAGATCGTAGTTTTAAAGACTCAAGTTTATCAGAGAGCGCCACTGTCCAGTCTCACTCAAGTATGCCATTAGTGGATTCCAGCCTACTTCTTCTTGTATTATAACTTTCGTGAGACATACTAGATTAATTATTATGTTTTCGGCTTACTCACGTAATTATTTGACGAGGAACTCGACTAGTTTCAAGCCATGCTAGAGGCTCATATACATGAGCAGCATTTCGCGACCAGCGACGCGGCTACTGGCAGTACTCTCACTGGAGCCTGTAGCATGGCTTGAAACTAGTCGAGATCCTCGTCAAATAATTACATGAGTAAGCCGAAAACATAATAATTTATCTACTTCTTATTTTTGAATATTCTGTACTGTGTTGTCTTCGTATGGTTAAACTTGCATATTTTCCTTAGTAGAAACATATAGTACCTCTAGGATAGTTAATACATTTCCAGCTAACAACAATAGACTCACTACACAATGAAAAGTAGAACGGGACTTACAAAGTAACTTCGGAAAAGTTATGTTTTGTCAAAGATTTATCTCTATCTAGTTTTTTCTTCTTTTTGTTAGTTATTCTTCCTTTTGTCTCCTTTGGAATCTTTCTTAAGTAGGTTGGTACTGCTATTGAGTTTTAGTCAGATTCAACACAGCATATTGTACCATGGTACCCTCTCAGATGCGTTTTACGCTCTTTTCAAGACAGTTTGGAAATTATACTGATATCGGTTCGAACGCATTTTTTTAAACATTGCGCCATTCTAGGATTTACTGTTTCCACACTGGATCCTGTATTGTGGTTGCGTTTACAAACAAACAAGTTCACTTACCCATGACACCCAGACTCGATACAACAATTTGAGAATCACACAAAGAGTTGTTCCGTGCGGGAATCGAACCCGCTACACGTTGTGCGGCAGCCGGTCGCCCAGTTACCGCGCCAACCGTGCAGTCATATTAAGTACGTAGTACTTATCAGGATCACTATCAAAAACTCAACGGTACTAATGCAAACAGTCAACTTTTATTTTATGCACAACAAAACCCGGATCGAGGATA